AATTCCCGTAAGGTGTCATTGGGTAGAAATTATTCCATGTTTTCCAATAAGCGGTAGGTACATTATTGTACCAGATAAGCCGCTAAAAAAGCATTTTGACATAACTTTAAATATTTACGACTACCAATGAGTTCGAGTCAACTCATGACTCAAAAGTATTTAATTGAGTTTGAGTCTCGACTCATTTTGAAATAGCGAACAATAATAAGTTTAAGTTGAATTACAGAAAATGAGAATAAAATGATTTTTTTATGGCCGATTTGGCCATTTCGAGATTTTCACCTTTATGAAAGTAAATTACTAAATATCAAGTCCCCGATTTTTGATAAATTAACTTTAGAACCTGGTTTGAACGCATTTATTTAAATAAATACGTCACTCTGAAAAAAGGCAAGTCGACTTTTATGATATGAGTTGAATTTGAGTCGACGATTGAGTTGAGTTAGGTTAATATGTACCCTCAACTCATTTGTAGTACATACAATGAGCTTTACCTTCATGGGGTCCTTCGTGTTCGGCTGGTTTCCAGGTGGAAAACTGTACAACTGCACGGAACAGATCCACCCTCGATACTTGTGAGACTTTGTTTCGGGCCGGCTATAGTCTTTGTAACCGTCGTAATACTTGTACTCATCAATTCGTTCAGGTAACTTCTTTCCGACAGGGAATTTTACATAAAACTTTTCTGCAGTAGATCCATTAGGTGCTAAGTTTCGAAGTACGAAATCATATCGGGAAAGAGCTATTGGGACAGAAATTTTGGGTAAATCCAAGTACTCAAAGTTAATAATGTGGACAAAACATGAATTGAAGGGGGTCAAGTATTCATCCAAGTTTGAAATGGTGAAGGTTAAGTATTCCGGTTTGGAGGGCCATTTTCCTCTATTTACGACACGTGGATCGCTTTCCCAGTCTTCGCAGTGAGAAGATTCTAATTTGATGATGAATAGGAATGCTACAATATTCTGAAAAATCATTGTTATTGTGACCAATATGGTGCTCCAGGGTATGTGAAACCTTACTGAAATATATGTAGATATGATGCTTCTTTAGGTATGTATATATTTACATATGTAAGTATAAAATTCGTTATATACATATTGTACAAGCTTTTGGAATTAATTAGCCAGAAATGAGGCGTGTTTGCGTTGGCAAAGTTCTATTTAATTATTTAACAACTACTGGAAATTTAATCCACTCTCATTTCATATCCTATTTTACATAAGTACATGTGTCACAATTCCTGTGGTTCTAGCTTAATATTTTAAACCCTGTTTGCTTTCTTGCTCCTTCTTCATATTTCATGCATTGCACTGCAAGGACATTACAATAAATAAATCCCATCCGGAAATCCGTGTATGAAGTTGGCATTTATGTATATACCAGAAAGTAGAACATAGCATGTCCAACTTTACAGGAAATATTAAGGTCCTGTATTTGCATTTTTCAGGGCCATGTCATGCAATGAAATGCACAAAGTGTCATATGCATAAAAGTGTATTTAGGAAGGAATACGCTCTTAACAATCCGGTATTAAAATGTAATACCTAGCGGTATTCATATGATGAGCATATGCATATATAGTACATATGCACATACATACATTCATCTGTGTTACATACATATGTATAAAGCTCAGTGTCGATAAATATTTAATCAGATATTCAAGTGTTGCATATACAAATGGCTTTGGCATACGCTGAAGATGAGTTATTATGCACAATGTACAACGCATACATAAGTGCATGCATGTACATTCATATACTCTTAATAATCTGGTGTTAGTCGTCATCGCACGGTGTGCATAAGTAAGTCAAAATGAATATGATTTTCATATTCAGCGTTCAAAATCTGTGCAAATTGACACGTCTAAAGTGTTTTCGACTTATGTGACCTTTCACCTTGGTCAAAGGGTCACTGCAGGTCAAAATTACATAGTCTGTTGGATTGCTCTTTAAAAGTACTATCGATTTGGGTACTCACATGTTGTCGTCCTAATTTGAAGAAAGCATGACCTGTGACCTGGCGCCGTGACCTTTTTTAGCTACAATGTCCACCTTCAAAACTGCAATGTCTTGGGGACTTACATAAAAATTATTGTAAACCGCATGTCCAAATTCGTACCAGTTCTGGAGATATCACAGTGTTGACGGATGGAGGGACCGACAGACAGACATTCCCATAAAGGTGTTTTTAATCCATGCATACACTAATAGAAATTGTGAATACGAATCTGCATATAAATTTTATTGCTGCAAAATTTTTGCAATAAATTTAAAAACATATTTTTACAAAAAAATACGCTAAAAAATACACTTTCCCATTTATGCACATACACAATTTCAAACAATGGTATTTTCATACCCATTCATAACATATCTAGGCAATAAATTATGAAATAAAATTCAGAGTAAAAAAATAAAAGACAAATAAATACAATTTTTTTCTAAAATAATCCAAGTCTGTCTTGTTTGCAGAAAATATGCACACATGCATACAAATTTTAAGATTTTTTTTCTCGAAAATGACATTGCAAATTTCTCGAAAAAAGTGGAAAAATGTTAATTTAAACATTTACACAGTTCACATCTCTCATTTACATATGAAAAATGTCCCTCGCAGTTGGAGATTTTCGCCTGAGGCTTAACACGTTCCAAAAATGGGGTGCTTAAACACTAACGCTCTAGTGGCGCAAAGGCAGCGCACGGTACTTATAATGCAGTATTCGTATGAGTGATGCCGGGGTTGTGAGTTCGACCCTCACCTAGAGCAGAATTTTTGCTCGCCGCCAATTATTTTGTTTGCCTATTTATTGTTGGGAAAGGATTAATTTATACTTCATTTGTGCAAATTCACCATTTTATCAAGTTTTTGGGATGGGGGTACTCACGTCAACTTCGTAAAATGCGTAAATCTGGCTTGGAAAAATGTTTTCGTCACTTTATGATGTTTGAGAAGAATTGGGATGCGAAAATCAATCAGAATTTTTTATATTTATGTTCAAAATACTCGAAAAAATTAGTTAAATACATGTGTATCATCGTAAACTATTTTTGGGGACGCATGGAATTTTCAGTTCTCTCATTTTTAGTTTATGTATGACACTTTATAATTTTTTTATGATGGGGGTACTCACTTCAACTTCGTAAAAGGCATAAAACTTGCCTGGCAAAATATTTTGGTGACTTTGCAATGCTTAGGAAGAACAAACCAAAATTCTACATCATGTTTATGAAATCTTGGGAAATAAAAATGCATATAATACGTATCGTTTTCAGAAAATCATGATCAAATGGAACTTTCATTTCTCCTCTCATTTTCATTAAATTTCATGTAAATACATATTTTCATTTAAAATAATTTAGTCTTTTACATGGATTTCTCAAACTTTTAGCAAAGAGACGTGTTGCGAAGTGGTGCTTGTGAGTGACGTGAATACAATGACATGCATGCTGACATGTGTGAAATTTATCCCCGTTATATGACTAATATCTCATGACTTATATAGGTATGTACATAAATATGGTAAATAAAGACGTGATTAATATTCAATAACGATTTTTAGACATCATTGCATATCATGCAATACATACTTTTGGTGGGACTATTGCATGCATGGGGCGGATATTAAAGGGTTAGAATTTTCAAAAACTCCATCGTGACTTTTATTGCGATCCTCAAAAGCATTGCTATTTGTTTAATTTTACTCAACAAATTAATTAATTAAGCCGGGAATATTTTAAATATCTATCGTGGTTGAATGATGTAACTTTTTTAACCGTCGTAACCAAAAATTGTAAAGTTAAAAATTGCAATTACACGTATTAAAAGTGGTTGAAATGATTTTGATATATGTACATAAATACGTAGATAATCTTGTATGCATATTTACATATATATTCCAGGTCTTCCCTATTTAGCTCCTTTTCGACGAACGCATAGCAAACATTTACGTATTTATGTAAGATTCACAAATAAGTGCGGCTGAACAGATGTGCCTTGTTTAATTAACGCCGGCTTATCCTTAAGCAATTAAATTATTAACTCGTATCTAATCCTGAGTTTTAAAAAGAAACCTTATCTTATTCCTCCAAATATAATTTTATTAGGGTAATAATTTTATAATGATTACAAACACCCTTTTCTTGTATGTACGCTTTAAATTTCTGCTAAAGTGACACGTACTGAATTAAGGTGGAATTAATTTGGTAATTAGTCAGGCATCATTTATATGTAATTGAAGAGATTTTAATTGTAATGCATATTATACATTTACATATTATGTAAGTAACCTTATATAGCAAATATTTAAGTAATAAGCTAATGCGCAAGGGGTAATTAAGAGGATCATGATAATTATGATACCAACATCCGGTCACAATAAAGTGATTCGTTTGCATCCATCCATCATCGTTTCTGGAGGTAAATCTGTACCAAAATAGTTTGGGACCGCCCATTAAGTATGTACATGAAAAGGAAGAACTTACATTAAGATGGTCCAAGAGTTAAGCAGGGAAGGATATTTTTCATTGAATTATACATACGCTACCAAACTGAACACGTTGTAAGGACGGCCCCCTCTTCTACACGAAGCATGTTAGTTGAGGAAAAAATTGCTAAAATTATTCATAATTTAGAAAAATTCTTGAAACGATAACTTTTTACGAGATAGGTTAAATCTTTGTAATACAAACATTAAGCTGAGCATGAATCGGGGCACATCTTACAAGGAAATCTTGGTCACATTTTAAGATTTCTGAGGAACCACTAAATATTTTGGGCACATTTTCCTTACACGATTTCCTTTTGTGCATATGTATGCCTGTACATACACATGCAAAGCTTAATTTGTTGGGCGGTGAGCGAAACCAAAAAGTAATAAAAGCGAAGAAGCATCGACAAAATCTGGTCAGTCGATATAATGACTTTCAAAACGTTTCCGGAAACTTTTCTAAGAAAGAATATAAAAATCGCGTTACATACATTTTGAGATTTACAAAATGAGTGGAAATTTCGGTACGTTGTGTTTTACATATTTTTGCTTGCTAAGAATACTTTCCATTCATAAGCTATCAATCAATCATGCATTAAATAATAGCTAAGATGGTCTTATATTTCTGAAATACTGATTTTCTTTTACAAAATTACTAATACGTTGATTCAATCAAGCTAGTTTGTTAAATTTGGGGCTAGTAGAAATTTAAAGTGGCATTTGGGGCGCAAAAAATTTTCAAATGTATATATGTTTGTACATTAATTTCAACAACTAAAACAATGAAAAAGTTAAGTTTCCGGAACCGGGAAAAATAGCAAGATGTAAAAATTACCGACCTACACACCTATCCATATGACCATATTTAAATACCTGATACATTAAGTCCGTACTTTATGCAAAGGCATACAGTGGACAATAGAATCAAATGTACGAAAAATAACCCATACAAATATCATTAGTGCCTTAACCATCGTATTTTACAGATTCATACCGCAGTCATGAAATAAACTATTTACTAAATACACAAATTAATTGCAGGAAGCCAATTCTGGATCACGTATGCAGAGGATGACACGGAGGCTTGGAAATGTATCGGACTGGCTCGTTCTCTTCAACGAAGCTTGACCACACGCCCACTCGGAGTGATTTTGTCGGATAAAGTGTCGCACGACATGGGGTAGTGGGATACTTAAGCAAATTTATTTACTCTTATTCTACTTGCTATAAAATCTCGCTGTAGAAAGATTTCCACCTGGGTTACACCGTTCGCACCCAGTCCATTTCAACTCAAAAACGTATGCTGCAGCTTTTAACCAAAAATTTTTAATGGAGCGGTACGAACTGTGTGAACCAGGTACATAGAAACCATCAAACAAGAGTACCTATCCATACACACACATGCATAAGACTATAATAATACGTAGTTTAGACGTACGCATGTACATACAAGGGTATTCCAAAAATGAGCCGACAATTTATTTTATTTAGCCGTCTTCTCCAATCTGAGTTTGCCCTCTGTCACCGCATCGATCCAGCACCTCAAAAATTTCTATCTGTCGCAAAGATTTACACGCAACAATTTGGATATCTGGACCATAGCGTCTTTATCGATTGCAATTGTCTAGTTCTGAAGAATACTGATGCACTTTTTCGAAAAAATGGGATTCAATGGGTCCAAGACAAGGAGGGTTCGGAATACGCAGTACTTCTAATAAACTCACCGTGCACTAAAAAAGAAAATCAGAAAAAAATTATGCAAATAATTGCTGCACGAGAGAATGGAATAAAAAGCGAGATTGTCGACATGCCGAAGCTTGAGAAAATTAATTTTTGCATGCAAGTGGATCTGAATTGGTAAGACTAACAATTTTCAAGATTTATACATACAAATACTCCAAACTAATATCAAGCGGTAATACAATACCGTGTAGTATAATACCATCGATAGCAGATCTTTAGTCCGGTATAATTTTAACACTGAAAAATATAAACCTGCCTGACTATACCCAATTTGCAAATTTGTCGGTTTTACAATTGCAAAAATTGCATACTCCTTGTAATGGTTTTTTAGTGAGATCCCAATTGCACTGAGTGGGGATGAGATAGGGATGGTCTACTTTACCAACGGAAGTCACCCGATGATATCCGGGGGAAGAACTGACCACCGCCTTGACCAGTTTAGCCAAGACTTGGTCAGATTTTGGGAAACGTTTGTTCCAGCCAACGTCCCAAATCCGAAGGATGTAAGTGATGGAGAGTCGGCAAAAAATATATGAAAATTTTCCCAAATTAATATGCAAATTCTTGTTTGTAGTGTTTAATCCACTCAATAAACATCAATTCATCAATGTCACCTGAACTTCATAATTCCGTCGCAATTATCGGAATGTCATGCAAGTACCCTGGGGCAAATACGATTGAAGAATTTTGGAAACTGTTGGAGAATGGCACAGATTGCATTACTCGTCCCCCTGAAACGCGGTGGACAAAGGAAAACTCATACACACAAATGGATCACGTCCATGAAACGGAGGCTGGCTTCCTTTCCTGCCCGATTGACATGTTTGACTCAAAATTTTTTAACATCAGCCAGGCTGATTTGGCTTACCTAGATCCACAACACCGCTTGGCTTTGAAAGTAGTGTGGGAGGCCATTGAGAATGCTGGAATTGATCCAGTCAGATTGAAAAATTCTGTCACAGGAGTTTTTGGCGGTTTTTGGCGTTGCGACTATAAAGAAATGTTGCAGAATCAAGGATTTGACGACAAGGATTTTTTCCGCGGTTACATGGGAAATGGGCTGGGATCAATGACAGCTAGAATTTCTCACTTTTTTGAACTCATTGGCCCTTGTTACTCTAACGAAAGCGGATGCTCAACATCTATAGCAAGCGTAGATATGGCTTGCGAGGCCTTGAAAAACGAGAAGGTAGATCTTTGTATTGCATTTGGAGTTAATCTCCTCCTACATCCGTTTTCAATTGGAGCCTTAGAAGGATTTCTAGCACCAGATGGTCGGTGCAAGACATTCGACGCATCTGCCGATGGATTTGGACGGGCTGAGGGGGCCGGTGCTATTATTCTAAAACGATACTCGGATGCAGCAGCCCATGGTGATAGAATATGGGGGCTCATTCGTGGAATGGCAGTTGTCCAAGACGGAACGTCAAAAAATATGGGTACTCCTACTGTGGCTGCAGAAGCTAAAGCGATGTTGCTTGCCCTTCAGCGAGCAGCTGTGAATCCGGTCGACGTAGAATTTATTGAAGCCCATGGCACAGGGACCCCGACAGGTGACCCCATCGAGATAAAGGCAATTGAAAAAATATATGGAGGTCGAAAACACGATAATCCCCTAACAATTGCCTCGGTCAAGACTAACATTGGGCACACTGAATCTATGTGTGGAATTGCGAGTATTCAGAAAACCGTACTTTCCATGAAGCACGAAAAAATACCAAAACATCTTTATCTGACTCATCTTAACCCGAATATTGATTTGGTGAATATACCTGCGAGAATTCCTACCGAGGAAGTTCCATGGACGAAAGGAAATCGGTCTCGGATTGCTGGTATCAATTCGTTCGGAATTACTGGATTACAAGCCCATGCAATCATTCAAGAGCCACAGCAGAATCCAAATAATCCATTAACCCTTATTGACAACAGGGATATGAAAATCTTGACGTTTTCTGCGAAAACCGAACATTCACTGCACTCTCAACTAGAGGTATTTAAGAATTGCTTAGAAAATTCGGATGCTACTTTGGATGACATCGAATATACCATGCACTCAGGCAAATCACATTTCTGTGTGAGGCAGGTGCTTCTGGCCAACACGAAACAGGAAGTGTTGGCGACGATTGGAAACGTGAAAGCAGCAAAACACATACCAAACATAATTCCTAAAATTTGCTTCCTTTTTACCGGTCAAGGCTCGCAATATCAAGCAATGTGTAAACAATTGTATGAAGGAAGTGTTGTATTTCGGTCAAACTTTGACAGACTTGATGAAAATTTACAAGCGAAACACGGCTTCACCATTAAGGGCGTTCTTGCTAATTCATGCTTGGGCCCAGATTCTGTCAATAATACATTGATCAGTCAGACGTCCATTTTCTGCTTGGAATTATGCATGCTTCGTCTGTGGGAATCATGGGGTGTGATCCCTGATGCTGTATTAGGACATAGTTTGGGCGAATGCGCAGCAGCAGTGGCGGCTGGGATGTTGGACATTGAGGATGCACTTACACTGGTTGTCACACGATCAAAGCTAATAGAAAGTTCCCCACCTGGTGGAATGCTTGTCGTTGGATTAAATCCTGAACAAGTGATTCTCAGTTTGGATTCTGCGGGAATGGGGAAAATCAACTCACCGGGTTTGGAAATTGCATGTGAAAATTCTGTGACTCAAACTGTCGTTGCGGGAGATTTCGATATGATAGAGAGATTTAAGGCTTTCTGTGACAAAAATAAAATATTGGCACATGTCTTGGACTCATCGCGTGCTTTTCATTCGAGTCACATGGACCCAATTCTTGATGAGTATAGAAAGACTGTAGCAAACATTACGTTTAAAGAAGCTAAACCCCATATATCTTTCTTCTCCGGGGTGGAAGGAAAGTCTGTAGACAAAATTGATGTTAACTATCTCATTAAGCACATAAGAGAAAAAGTGAGATTTGCAGATGCGTCCCATACCGCTGTGAAAGCTGGGTACCGACTGTTTATCGAACTCGGACCTCAGCCAATTCTATCAGGTCTCCTGGCAAGTAACGTAGATGAGGTGTGCTCAGATTTTGTCAACAATGAATGCTATGTGAGTGTATCGTAGATACTGATTCACTTGATGACTTTTAATTGCAGAGGTCGGAAGAGATAATGATGTTGCCTTCAGTTAGAAAGAATGCATCCGATTAGACGACAATTCTAACTTCAATGGAGAAACTATATTTGGAAGGAGTTCCCATTAATTGGGATAATTTTCATCGTTTTTCGTTTGCCAGGAAGATTGATCTGCCCGGCTACGCTTTTGACGAATCGCCTTATTGGATTAATATCACTAGCCAGAGAAATAATGCCATTCACCCGCTGATTGGCTCATATATTCCAAACGCCTCGGACACCACAATATTTCAATCCAATATTGATGTCAACAAGATCCAATTTTTACGCGATCACGTCCTCGTAGACAAAATTATATTTCCATGCGCAGGTTACGTGGATATGTGCTTGACTGCTGGATACGTTGCCACGCATTGCGACGAAGGAAAGTACACAAAACCGATTGCATCCATTTTGATTCACAATTTCTCAGTAGCCTCCCCAGTATGCCTAAGTGAGACTCACAGTACCGACTTTCAGGTATAAAAATGTAAACAAAACTTCACAATTTACACGTTTTAAGAATCCAAGGGATTTGAATATATTGCCAACCCTTGCAGGTTATTGTATCAAAAAATGCTCAAGGAGAAATATCAACAAGAATAAACTCGCGTTTATTGCTGGAACAATCAAAATACAAATGGGTTAAGAATGCAGAAGCACTATTCGCCTGGAACTCGACCGCTGCAGATACCCATTTAACAAATTTTCAAGTAATTAAGTCAAGAATATGCGAACCAATAACCCACTCGTTCAGCTACGAGCATTTGAAGGAGTACGGATATAATTTTGGTCCTTCACTGCAAAACATTTTGAATGATTGCTGGAGAAACCCAGAAGCGGACTCTGGTGAATATATGTGTTTATTCAAATGCAGGGAACTAGGCAAAGACCATGATAAGTTCATACTCCATCCATGCATTATTGATGCCATGTTTTTTGCATTACAATTTGGAATGGGCATTCAGAATTGGACAACCTTTGAGAAAGGTCAACTAATTGTCCCGGTGCAGATCGAAAAATTTATATGGTGGGGCAAATCTTGTGAATCGGGATATATCTATTCGAAAAATAACAATCGACATAACGAGGCCCATATTTACAACGATCATGGTATTTTAATAGCATCTTTATTTGGGACTGAATTTATGGAAACGACGATAAACAGCATAATCGGCATGATAGACTCCCAAAGAAATCCACTCCCAATTCTAGGGGAATATGAGTGGAAGAAGCATCTTGGAATAAATGAAAAACGACTTCAGCTTGGAGGAGAAAGGTCTAGGTTGGAAACACTTCTTGGAAGCACTTCTGTCGAAACCATGAACTTGACACCCGCCGAACAAAATATTTACAATAAATACAGGAAGCATTGTGGGCTATACATGCTTAAGGCAATGAAAGAGCTAAAGCTGGATGAGCATAGTCAATTTACGTGGCCAGATATCTCGGAAATGCTTAAGGTTTCAAAACATCTTAACAAGTTCTTACGTTATATCCTGCTGGAGTTGGCGATTGACGGATACCTGATTTTGAGTGCTAACCAGAATCTGAACGACTCAATCCTAGATTTTAAATTATCACCAGTTCAACCGTTCCCAAGCTTAGGGATTATTTGTTCCCAGATTTCGTCCTCAGTCGACGCTTTCAATGCAACAAATTCTCCTTGGACAAAAACATTGTCTTTACTCTCAAGCTACTGGACACAATTAGGTCAAATCTTGACTGGTAAACAGCAGGCACTTCAAACGTTGTTTGAAAACGATTCTGACCAACCCAATCAACAATGTTTGGCCGAAATCTTTTACACGAATTCTTTCTTTAAATATGCCAGCCAAGATCTTTATAGTTTTGGGACTTACATTTGCCAGCGAATGTCAACAATCTGTGACGATGCAGTTGTTCGCATTCTTGAAATTGGTGCCGGTGTTGGTGGATGCACACACTCGCTGGTGAACGGGATGATAAAAGGAGGCGTCTTGAACTATGAATATACTTACACCGATTTGTCACCAGTGTTTTTGCAGAAAGGGGAATTAATTTTTCAAGATACCAGAATTTCCACAAAATTTGCAATACTTGATATCGAGAAAAATCCATTAGACCAAGGATTTGTACCGCAGTGCTATGATCTGATCTACAGCGGATTTGTTTTTCACGCTACTAAAAATTTACATGAAACCTTGATGAATCTGAAAACCCTGCTAAGACCTGGAGGTGTAGTTGCACTTCTAGAGCTTGTCGGTCAGTCCAGGGATGTTAACTTAACTTTTGGGGGCTTGGAGGGCTTTTGGAGGTTTGAAGACTTTAACTTACGTCCATGGAATTGCGAATTGGATCTGGATTCATGGTACTCCTTATTTAAAAATCATGGATTCATAGACTGTAAGATACATTCAATAGCGAAGGAAGGCGTGGCAATGATAATTGCTCAACTCGATCCACAACTTGAAAAAAGAACTACAATTGGGACTTAGTATTTCCACCAGCCCCAACAAGTGGGTTTTATTTGGTGGGAAAGATTCCACAAGTCAAGCTTTACGGAGGAAGTTGGAACTTTATGGTCTCGATGTCAAGATGATTCTTCACGACGATAATAACGTATCTGGAGACCACGTGGAAAACCTGATTGAAGAAGTATTATCGCCTCCCATTTGCGGCGTAATCTACATGTGGGGCACTGGTATGATTGACACAACCAATGTTTGCCAACCATTTCTGTACATATGCAGATATTTATCTACGACCGTGGTAAATCTCAAGGTTATGGTTGTAACAAACGGATGCATGAAAGTGGGATCCATGGATTATTGTCAAAGGAACCCAGCCATGTCCCCTATTCTGGGAATGATTCAGGTTCTGGCAAACGAAAATGAGTATCTCCAGTGCAAGGCATTGGACCTGGACTTCAGCGGTGGTGCTGTGGACGAAATATTTTCAGAATTACATTGCTGGAATTTGGATACCCAAATTGCCTATAGAAATAACAAAAAGTACACTCCACGGCTGCAACAAGTAACTGTACAGAAAAATCCGCTTGCTATTCCTACAACACCGAACATTCGTCTGATTTTGCCTTATAGCAATCTTAATTCTGACTTTTGCTTCACACCTTTTCAATCAATTCATCTGACAGAAGGACAGGTTGAGGCTGAAATTAGAGCATATGGCCTGAACTTTTTAGATGTACTCGTAGCCAGAAAACCTGATCCTATATTTGATTCTTTCAATACGCTGGGAATGGATATTACTGGCACGGTAACGGCGCTTGGGCCAGGTTGCCAAGAGCGAAAAATTGGAGACCGAGTAGTTGTTTTTCGACGAGGCGGAGAATCTGTACCAAGCCGCATTTCGGTTTTGGAGAAACTGACGATACCCATCCCTACAGACATGACGTTCAGTGATGCGGCAACCATACCTATAGGATCACTAACCGTCTTTTATGCCCTACATCACATTGCCCAGGCCAAAAAGGAGGACGTCCTTCTCATCCATACAGCATCCGGAGGAGTTGGGCTCTTGGGCATACAAATTGCTAGAAAGATTGGGTGCATAATCATTGCCACAGCCGGGAGTGTACGCAAAAGGAACTATTTGAAAAGCTTAGGCGTAAACCTTGTATTCGATTCAAGATCACTTGCATTTGAACATGGAATAAGAGAAGCCCTTGGAGGAAATCTTGTCACCATAGCCCTAAACTCTTTAACCGGGGAAGGATTTAAAGAGGCTACATTATCAGTTTGTAAAACGGGTGCTACGTTTATCGAAATGAGCAAAATGAACATTTGGAGTAAGAAAGATTTACAAGAACTCAGACCTGATGTCAGCTATCACGTTATCGATCTAACAACTTTGCCCGGGAATGAGGTAAAGATCTTGATTGAGGAACTTTGGAGCAATATGCAGAAAGGTATTGAAGATTCCGAACGTCTAACTCCTCTTCCCTATACGTCATTTGAATTGAGATACATTAAAAATGCATTAGAATATGTTGAACGGGCAAAGCATATCGGGAAGGTAATTTTGACAATGCCATTCTTCGACAAACTAACTACTAAGCTCCAGTACATATTGTTCAACAAGGAAGCAACCTATCTAATAACTGGCGGGCTTGGAGGAATTGGGCTAGAAGTTGCAAAATGGATGGTGTCCTTTGGTGCACAGAATCTTCTCTTAGTTTGTCGTAGTCCGCCCAACGCCAGGACCCTTCGAGCGATTGAAACGATGGAGCAAAGCGGAGTCTCTATTACCCACAAGCAAAAGGATGTCGGAAACCTTCACGAAGTGAATGGGTTGTTTAATGAATTTTGTGCCGAAAACGGATTGTACCCAATTCGAGGCATAATGCACGCAGCTGGTGTACTGGAGGATGGCCCATTAGAGAAGCAAACATGGCAGTCTTTCGAAAATGTATTTCGTCCAAAAATTCGCGGAGGATGGAATCTGCACGAAGTTAGCTCATCCATGAAATTTCCCTTGGAACATTTTGTTGTATTTTCCTCAATGGCATCCGTCTTGGGTTCTTACGGACAAAGTAACTACGTAGCTGCAAATTTTTACTTTGATTCACTTATTCACTACAGGCGGTCGCTCGGTTTACCTGGATTAACAATAAATTGGGGGCAATGGGGACAGGTCGGCCTGGCTGCAGATATTGCACATCGAGCTTTCAAACCATTCACAGTTTGTCAAGGAATATCGGCTTCACAAGTCTCAATTGCTAGCATATGATGCAGACTTGAGTTTAATAAAAAAATACATTCCTTCAGCTAGAGGCCTTCTTACAGGAGTTTCTGATACAGCTGCAATGGACATTACTCAAATTGACGGGGAAGGATTTTGGGATGAATATAATTCGGCAGTTGGAAGGGAACAGAAATTTGTTACACTAAAGAAATTGCTCAATAAATGTGTTCTATCTACACTAAAAATGAACGTGAGTCACGTAATTGATGATAGCGTGAGTTTCAAGGATATGGGATTGGATTCACTTATGATGATTGAGATGAAAAACAGCCTCCAAACTTCTCTTGGGAAACGGGTGAATATTTCACTTCAGGCTATCAAAGACTGTAAAACAATTGCGGAACTGTCAAATAGACTTGTAGAATTGTTATCTGGGGAGGACAACATTCCAAAACTAACATTAATTGAACGTCTACAACTAGCTGAGGAAGATTTACACCTACCTAATGCTATTCATGTGGACGACTTCCTCGTAAACACATTAACCCCTATAAAAAATTCGCCCAACTCCTTTCCTGCCTCATGAAGACAGATTTAATCGTATAATTGGAGGGAAGAATATCTTGACAAATTGTCAACTTGATGGCTGGGTTGAGGTAGTTCCTGGTGATATGGGAAGGGAAATGTTCGGGTTGAATTCATCAACATATGTAAACTTATGTGAACACGTTGAGGCGATAATCAACGTTGCAGTGAATAATTCTTTCCAGGAAAAGTACTACGCTTCGAAGGAAATTTCTTCTTGTAGAATCTGTAACATTCAAGGACTGAAAAATATTTTCGAGTTCGCAGTGTCTAAAAAACTCAAACACGTATTCTACGCGTCCACAATCGTAGCCCAAAAAGAAATTGGAGAGGATGGATTATACTCTGAGAGTTGGCCAACATTGGATCAAATTGCACACCTTCCAAATTCTGCGTACCCAATATCCAAAGTGATCTGCGACCTCATAGCTCAAGAGACGATTCAGAGAAGAATACCTTGTAAGGTTTTTCGTTTCCCGAATATTGGTGGAGACAGTGTGACTTGTGGAAATATCAAACTCGATAATTTTATGATGATTCGATTCTACACGTATATGTATCTTGGTATAATGCCTGCATATAACATACCCCTTTGCATGATGCCAGTTGACCTGTGTGCAGAATTTTCAGTTAACCTATTTTTCAATGACGAAGCTCCAAGCAGCATTTACAACATATTCAACCCAAACTTAGGTAACGTATTTAAGGCTTAGCCTATTTAACGTATTTATAAGACGATCTGAATTGGTTATTTCCTAAAACCTTTCATTTTCAACAGGTGACGAACGCGAGTTTGACGAAATTGCAGCAGAGTTGGGGGTGAAAGTCGAGGTTGTGGAGCCGGACGAATTTTTTGAATACTTAAACTCATTAGACGACACAGATCCGATGCTTAAGTTCGTTAAACAAATCCTCGAATTTAAGGAGGATGTGAACAAATTTGCAGATGATCCTCGCTCTTTTCAACTTGCATTTCTTCAAGGCAAGCAAAATCTTACCTGGAGCAAGAAGTTGGCCAAGCTTATGCCCGATTTATACCCGGTAAAGATTCCACTATCGTGGGAAGTATTCAAAAAGGATCTGGCATTGGCAAAGAGCACAGGATTTTTTGACCGATATCGAATCAAGTATTCAAATCAGTAATCGGTATGACATTTTACAATCGTTAAAAATCATTAAAACTCGCACCACAATAAAAATATTTACCATTAAATTGTAAAATTATTAAACTGTTGGGTATTAACATTTTAAGGGGGACATTTATGCTTAATATATCAATATTTTTTTTTTTTTTTTTATGTACTACATACTTTATTGCATTTTTGCACATATCCATGAAATCATTTTACATAATGTATTTTGAAAAAGCTAAACGACCAGCGCCGTACATAAGTGTCCCTATCTGAATATTTAAAAAACTCTTTTAATTGTAGTTGTCCTAAAGGTAAAAAATCTCATCCAACTCTCGTCCGGCTGGAAGAGATCCCAAAATATATATATCAATATATAAATACATATGTATGTAGTTCATTCAAGAAGTATTTGCAACACCAGTGGCCGCGGAACCTGTAAGAACATCTAGGGACGCTACTATTGTAGGATATTGGAGGGAGGGATTTACATATGTATGTAATATGCACGGATGATGTGGATATCAAATAACGGGGGACATTGTCCCTCGGTCCCCACGCTTCCCCGGCAACTGGGCAACACCAACGCGAGCTGACTAAAACTTTGGTATACATTATCAAATTACCGTGAAATTTGTGTACATTTAGTAAGAAGTAAATAAAATATAAACAGGCATACAAATATGCATGCAAATGTACACAATAAATTCCACAATATGTGTGTCCTGCACATAATGAGCAAGAAATAAAACCGTACTAATTTCTAAAAAATGTACCCTCAAGCAAAACTAGACGTACGCAATTAAATTAAAGTGTGTATATAATTTACTTTGCCTTTTATGCAAGGCCCTATGGCTCAGAGGTACGAGGGTAGGATTGTCACCACGCAGTCACACGTTCGATTCCTCTGGCCGGGAAGCTATTGCTAATCCTACTCGGCTCGGTGTTAGTACGGGGTAGGTGCTGTCTCGTGACAGGGTGAGCCCAGCCATACGGAATGGCAATGTCACTGTGTACAGCCCCTAGCAGAGTCCGTTCTCTGTGGGGATGAGACAACTTGCTACGAAATTATGGCAAGAAGTCGCCATCTGAGGCTGAAAAGCAGAGAAATCTGAGTCCTGGCGATGTAAAACTGTCACATTTTAACATTTTTAACATTTTAACATTTTATCTGTTAAATGCGAAAATCAATGGATATTAATTACATTTTCATGTAACAGAAACAAGTGTGTACATATGTACTTACAACGCTACACTAATTCCAGAACATACACACTTTATATACAAATTTACGAACTACCCGTTTCCGCTGCTAAATTTCACCTGTAATAGTACATATAACTATCTATGTACATATGTGCATGCGTATGATAATTATTTAGTTGCACAACTCCTCTCCGAAATATCCACCTTCTTTGAAGATGGGCTATGATGTTGTATGTGTACATGTGTGTCCGTTGTAATAATAACATGCACAATTTAAAGAAATTAATTTCATGTTGCGCGTTGTCCATATGTGCAGTATGTACATAAATATGTGTGCACATAAGCCATATTTATTACGTGTACTGCTTTACAGTTTACATCAAATCCATACTTCATGCAAACAAAGATCGATTCCCAACAGCGCCAGCCCATCGTCACCTGCTCAGCTCTCAAAATACGAAACAAATACCCAACAAAAGAAGTTATAAACTTCTGTAAATGTAAATTGTCACGTTGCAAAGCAAATTGTACCAAATCAACGACGAGGTATGTACACACTTCTCGGCGAATATTTACTATCCATCCTCGTAGTTATAAATTTTGAAAAATCTCGTACATTAACTTTCTCCCTTTCTATGTAAGATACATCCATATTTCACATTTCCATTTTCAAATTTCTAGGCACTAGGCACAAAATGGAATCATCCTCTATACTCTCACAATTGACTCGTACGGTTGAAAACGTCACGGCGAGATTGACAAGTAATACGATATAAGTAAATATTTAAATTTAGCACAAATCTCTTTAAATTGTGTGCTGCAAATTCCAACGAAATTTGCAGGTCGAAAATTGGATGAAGAACAATGCCACAATTACTGCTTCCTGTGCGCGACCTCACTTCAAGAATCCACTCCTTTTCCCACAGACGACCACATCGCGCAACAGATATCTTTATGTAAAACGTTCCTTGAAGAAATCGAGTTGTCGCCGTTGTCGGGTAAGAATTACGCAAATACAGAGAACAACAACCAATCCTGCCCAACTTGTCGACAAGAGATGCAAAAAGTGTGGAATTTGCACATGGCCATGGTCGCAATTAAAGAACAAATCACAGATATTTTGACAAGATCGATGCAAAAAGGGAAAGGTGTGTGTGTAATTGGACTACAGTAATTTTTGCATACCTAGATTTTTAGACATTGAACTGTTATCTTTATTTCTTAGACCGGAAGAAAATCAGATTGCAAACAAATGAGGCAATTCTAGCTGAAAATACATTTCGAGAAACACCGAGCGAAACTGGAAATCTCAATTTTACTGAAGGTAATACTTAACAAAAATTAAGTTCCCCAATACTTTAAGCATGCATACATAATTTTGTACATGTGATTGTAACACAACACAATCTGCAAAAAATTGTGCATACGAAAATCACTACTTATGTGATTGTCTGTATGTCCATATGAACATATTTCGTAAATTTGCTATGAACGCACTTCTTCGTAACTTTGTAAAATCCGTAAATTGTATAAGAACAAGAATTTGAAAGTTAATTTTCATTGAGATTTACAAATTTTGCAAAGTTGATTGATTGATTGATTTATTCACATCAAGCTTGATTTACAAAAATCTTGTTACGCTTGACGGCTAACACAAAAAGTTTTACACAAATTTTTTGTCACGTAATAATTCAAATGGTAGTATAATTGATAATTGTGATTTAGTCATAATAGAATTAGTAATTGTGATTTAGTCATTTTCAAGTTTCAAGTTATTTGCATATTACTTTCCTCATTATGTTGTTACAGACTCCAATTTCCCAAACGAAGATGCTGACCACGACGACGACAATACCGGCCCCTGGATCAAGGTCGAAGACGAATCTGTAGATCTGGACATTGACGCGGAAATCACACCTGATCCTCTGTCCTTCTCCACCAGGGAAGAATTGTTACCACCCAGAGACAAAAATGAGGGCCTCGTTGACAATAATAAATCGCAACGAATGTGGGGCAATGGTCGACCTTGGGACCCCGTTTGGGATGAATTTACTACAATTCAGAATACGAGAGGAATGAAGAAATCGAAATGTATCCATTGCACAACTTTAGTAAGCCATAGGGCGGACAGGATGAAGAAACACATTAATTCTTGTCAGGCTTATCAAAAATATGTACTTGGCCAGCCTTTATGATGTTAGATAAATATATATAGGTAGACGACAAATTTCAAACGCATGACGCAAATTTTCGCATGGCAGTATACTACATACACATGTACATATATGTATGCTATTGTATGCATTACCGTTAAATGTGTAGCTTAATAAATGAGTTACATATACATATACACTGGATGAATTTGCAAAAAATCACCTATCTTTCCGCCAAACATTGTGCTAAATCTCACAAAAACACTGATACATATGTTGTTACATATGAATGTCTGTATGTAATACTATGTATACATAGTAATTCTCTAAAGTTGCATTTATGTAAAGTATTTAAATAAATGTGTAAAATATTTAAATAAATATGTATGTACCGCGGTATTAATTGTATGTAATATAAATTTCTTCGTATTTATTGTATATTCGCAGTCATACAATGAGCGTCAAACCAAAAATTAAATATTATTTTCATCCTTAAACTTACAATTAAGATTAAGGTAATCAGGATTAAAATTCGTAAATACACATATATAAATTTCAACAATAAAATGTCACATTAAGTAAAATCTCTTCAGGAAACATATTTACATAAATCACCACTCATGTCTCTGGTCCGATTTTTTTTACATATGCAATTAAGCCGACGATATGTATGTACATAGCCCACAATTAACTTAACATAGAAGATTAACTAAGTATTATAAAAACAATGCGCGTCTGTATTTAAGGTCGCGTAATTCGTACATACATAAATTTCTCGGAAATGATGCGTGGAACTCAAAATTAAAAAAAACATCACTTATCATCCCTCACGATATCTTTATACAACGGTGGCGGAGTATCCGGTCTGCCCCACGAGTACGGTGGCGGAGGGTCATCACGAAGTTCAATCTGTATCACGACCTGACACTCTTCCCCTTCCCCGAGGTCACCATACGTGATAAGGTCGTTATCACTAACTATCGAACTATTTTGTACCACATCCGTCGTCCCCACCCCCCGAGGTCTCGGTCGCCGAAGGTCCGTTGTCCCATTTCTGCGACAACAATCCTTCGTCAATGTTTTTACATAGGACTCAATTAACCTCAGCATGACACAGGCCGCAAAAAATCCGAGCAGGATGATAAGGAATTTCCGCTCCTGGGGGAAAGGGGACGGTGCCCTTGATGAAGGGTGCTTTCCGACTGGGTCAAAGCGTAATTTCGAAGCGCGTTATGATAATGAGTATCCAATTTTGCCAGATTTCTGGTAACATTTAGGACAGATTTAGGCAAATCCTCCATTCGTCGACATGGCGATTCGCCTGGGTAAAATATTTGCGAATTAGTTATGCACGTACTTATGTGTGCATAAAATTATCTATATGCAATTTAATTGGTTTTGCACAAGAAAATTGTACTACTCAAGCCATCACTTCTACATATGTAACAAAGCAATTTTAGAAATTTGAAATTGTTGGCAAATTAAATTTGTAATTATGGTCTCAATTTCTGGTACATGTAGTTTACTAACGTATAATAAGGCAAATAATTATTTAACTAATCAACAAATTGACGCATATGTACTTACCCAGCAAATTTTTTAACACAGCTTCTAAGTATTTACATATGTATTAATATCACGTTAAATAACACTAATTCATGTCCGAAAGATAATAATAGCGTACATAATTTCAACAAGTTATCAGTTTTATAAACTATGACGACCCACAAAACTGTAGCAAAATCTGCATTTTAATCGATTTAACTTTTAATTTCTCTCACTCCTAATTTTAAACAGTTTGCACAGAAAGGTACGCATTTAAAGATAAAAATATCTCACTGAAGCCGAATTATACGTAAACAACTGGTAAACCAAGGTTTATTTACAAACATTATTTGTATGTATGTATACAACTTGGACCAAACCAACTTTCACCATCACATACATATGACTTCCGCAGTGGAAGAAATCGATAGTATAATAAATCCGGGCATAATACGAGGAATGTACATACATTGGAGATGCGTATAAAATCCGGGCAAGGAGAAGTGGCATGCATTTGCACACTTCTCACTTTGTACATATATACTTATTTACATATTCACACACAATAGGCATCACCATGGAAAAATTGCAAGTTTGTATAAGTTAGGACCCGTTAACTTGAAAAGAAGTGGAGTGCTTTGGCATGAAAATTCATTCTCCGGAAACTCAAACACATGCAGATATGTTTCTATGTATGTACATACATATTTATATATCTGTTGTAGCACTATTAGTGCACGATTTTCCCAAGAGAAAGATGAAAATATGTAGGTATTTGCATATTTACATTATGCAAACAAATATGTATGTATTTATTTACATACATACATACATACATATATATATGTATGTGCATATTTACATACCTACATATTTAAACAAACATACAAATCTTCAGGTGTATGTATGTATGGATGTATGTATATGCATCTTCATGCATGTGTAAAGGACTTGTGTGTGACAAAGGTGACCGCACGGTGAGTTATAGATTATGTATTTATTTGTATACAAATATAACTATTATAATATATGTAGTTATAAATACATAATCGTATCCATACATACATACATAGATACATATGTGTATAAATTATATTAACAGAGACATTGCAAAAGTCTGGCTTCAAATCCACCTTGCAATACACTAGTCAGAAATTATTGCTTAATTACAGTACTTTTTTATATGGCGAAAACTAAACGCTTGTGGTACTACATGCATACAATTATGTACATACACTGTTATACATCTGGTACACATTTAAACTAAAATTTTTATACCTAGCTACTACTACATACATACATAAATAACTCATATATGTACATGGTATTACCACCCTGGCAGAGTTACGTATATTTAAATTCGTATTATTGTCACACTGGATTTCTAAAATTGAATAAACAAAATATATACAACTAGCCTATAAGCCCGTCTTAAAGACGGTCCACATCAAGTTTTAAATCAACACAACAAAATCATTCGATGAAAGCACCACATCACTCCGGCGATGAACTAATTATAACCAAATTATAATTTGAGAGTAAAACAATATCTAAATATATTAAAACATCGAAAAGGCTGTTCCTTTAAACTTTCCAGTACATTCCTTCATTCAGATAGATTGCCAGCTCCCGTAGGACTTTTTTCGACTTTGCCAAGGAATTTTTTTAACGTTGCTTGGATTGTTGCGCTTGAGCTGGAATTGTTTAAATGTTTTAAGGAATTTTGAACGTTGCTTAGGAAATTTTTTAACGTTGGTAAGGAATCTTTTTAACGTTTGTTTTTTTTGTTAACGTTGCTAAGGAAATTTTTTTATGTAGCTAAGGGATTTTTTAGAGGTTGCTGAGGATTTTTCTTTATGTTGTTAAAGTATTTTTTATGTTGATAGGCAATTTCTTTGACGTTGCTAAGGGAATTTTTTAACGTTGCTGAGGATTGTTTTTAACGTTGCTAAGGAAATTTTTTAAATTTGTTAAGAATTTTTTTTCTGGTTACCCATAACCGAAATCATAACCGAAATCATAACCGAAATCATAACCGAAATCATAACCGAAATCATAACCGTAATCATAACCGTAATCATAACCGTAATCATAACAGAAATCATAACCGTAATTATAACCGAAATTATAACCGAAATCCTAACCGTAATCATAACCGTAATTATAACCGAAATCATAACCGTAATTATAACTGAAATCATAACCGAAATCATAACCGAAATCATAACCTAAATCATAACCGAAATCATAACCGAAATCATATCCGTGCTGTGATTGGCGGAGCCAGGAAGCCGGCAACAAATCAGAATGCAGGAATGTCACGGAAAATTTCACGGGACGGACTTTTCGAAATTATAATATAGATACATAAATATGTGTGTACATGCAAAATGATTTTTATATCAGATTATACCAACAAAATATAAATTAATTTCACGTTTAATATTTTGCACATTCCACCAAACTTGTGGACCGTCAGCCCATTTACATCTTTGTGCGTCTATTTTTTGATAAAATTTGAGTAAAATTTGACAGTAAATTACACTATAAGTTTGAAGTGGGTGGGACAGCATCCTCACTTGTGCGAAAACGAGCTTAAGTAGAAGATAGAAGGATGAGTTTTGCTTTATCGTTAAATTTCCTTTACGACGATCCACTCCCAAAATTACACGTGGTCATTGTCACGGTACCGGTTGCCTCCAAATTTTTCGACTTGCATTTCACTAATTGAATACCTTGTGGATTTCCTTCAATTCTAATTAAATTTCTACTTTCAACAATATTTAAGCTTGCACCTTCCCCAGTGACCAAGACGTTGTCGCAGGTAGAATTTTTGACGGTGGTATTTGTGGAGTGTATTTCTAAATCCCACGCGGAATCAGTCGTATTTCCCGTGCAAGTAAAATCCTCAAGTGTGTGATTATTACCTCCTCTGAATACAATGCCTGCTATGTCGCCGTTCCCCTTGTCGTGTGTGCTGTTTGATAACCTAATCTTTTGAAAAAGATGATTCGTCCCATTAACTAGTATCCCTTTTTTGTAATTTTCACTTGTTATATTAGAAAATGTACAAACACGTGAAGTTGTTGCTATATTAATACAGAAGTCATTAGTGTTTGTAAATTTTACGTCATCAATTTTGATCGCTTCCATGAATTTGAATCCCAATGACAGCGTTGGCAACATTTATGTTGGATAACCTGCATTTGTCACCAAAAACTTCAATACAAATGGTGTAACTCTGAATTTCTGGCGGCAATATAGACATATTCGAAATTAAACAGTCCTTTCCAGAAATTCAAAAACTAATAGATGGCAAAATCCTCGTCTTATCAACTCCTTTCCCCATAATTCTAATTCCATCTGTGGAACCAGCATGTCACATGCAGAGTTCCAATTCTTCTCCATTTCGACAGGTTAACACTTTCTCCTGGGTTTGCACTGACCTTAGCTCATTAAAAATTGGAGAGCAACCATCCAAAGTTTGATATCTTTGCTCAACGTTCCTTTTAGTTGAATTTATTACGAGTTGTTTAGTCAGCATTCCGAGGAGGGGGTGATCATCCTTGATTAGTTCTGTCTCGCCGTCATTAACCAGCCTGTCGAATAGACCTTGTTTTTGTTCCGGTTTGATCATGGCAACCACTTCCCAAATTATTAATCCCAGCGAAAAGATGTCCGACTGATACGAATATTTTCCCGTTTTAACTTCTGGCGCGGTGTAAGCCGGAGTTCCGATGCCGCTGGAGGTCAACGTAGGATCGTTGTGACTGTGAGCGGTGCGAGATTGCCCGAAATCTCCGATTTTTACGGGGAGCCTGTACTTCTCCGAGGTGAACATAACGTTCGCAGGCTTCAAGTCGCGATGAATGATTTGATTATCGTGTAGAAAATTTAATCCGGGCGAAAAATACCCTTGAGTTGGTCCGGATTCAAATGTTTCTTACAGACTGAATTCTTAACGAGGACAATGTTTGCATTGTACCATAGCTTTCTGGTTAAACTGCTCTCCCTTTCGTTTTGAAGTTTAAGTTTGTCGTCGTCCGTCGGATAGATGAATTTTATGCAGGAGTAAGTATCGTCGTGATGTTTTGCTTTTAACACAAATCCAAAAGATCCATGGCCCAGGAAGGACTCGTATTTTGCAACGGTGTCAAGAAAATCTGGACCAGCTGCCATGCTTATTTAGTGAATTTTTTGAGAAGTAGAGAGATGAGCTAGTTTTGCCAAATACTTCCAGGTGTGAGTGAAATTATATAGTTGAGATTGGAATTGGTTTGATTTATGCGTGATTATCTACAGAATTCAGACAGTGATAAGTTATCTTGCTGGAATTGCTTGTATGCTTTTGAGGACCATGCATTAAATATGTCGCCTAGGCGGAAGTCGAAGTATCATATTATGTGATTTACTAGAAATGGGCACATGTGTCACACAGGAGTAAAATAAGATTTTATCAGTCACGTCCTTCATTTTCGGTCCCTTCTGATTTCAAATGAACAAACGAATAAAGAGTGTCCACTCGTTATTCGTTTGTCCAAGTTATAAGCATAGGGCGGATATGTATGTACTTAAATTTCTCAAAATATGTATGTAATATGTGCTTAAAAAACACGAAAATATGCAAATAAAACATTTTTCTATTGTAATTTTCTACTGTATTTAAATTTAATTGTCCAAACCTTTAAACTTTTTAACACTCTTATCAACGAATTATTAAATATATCATTTTAATCTTTATCTAATAACCCATAATGCGACATTAGTTATACTTAGAGATTTTCAGGTGTAATTTTTTTTACTAGAAAAATCGGGCAAACTGGATTTGCTAGTCGTTCACATGAATTGAACACCATTATCATGAAAATATAATTTTGAGAAAACTTTAACTTCTGAATAAAGAAAAATATTTTCACATAAAAAACCTCGAAATATGTATTCAAATAATTATTTTTAGAAAAAGGCTCGAATATGTAGGAAAATATGTGCATGTACATACGAAAAAAAACTCAAAATAAGTATGAAAATATGCATATGTACGAAAACCCTAAAATATGTAAAATATGGAAAACAATGTTTGAATTTTTGAGATCACGCTTCGATGGGATAACAGTACACAAAGTTTTAGTACGATCTGATTTGATATGAAAAAGTTAGAAATACATGCATATCCGCCCTCTGGTTATAAGTTTTGCGTCCATGCCTGCCCCATGTATCTCATTCATATCATTCACACATATGTATGTACGCATATAAAGCTGGTGTGACAGTCTCTTAAGGTTTTAAAAAAAATCAGATAAGGACTCTTATGTAGGGCGCCGGACATTTAACTTTTTTTAAATGAATGTGCGTAATATTCATTAAATACTCAAATGATTAAAGTGTTATGCACTATTTAAAGCTTGACAACTGATTAATAAAAATTAACATTTTGCACAAATCTTATTCCTCATTAAGCACACGCTCTCTCATCTTTCTGCGTTGAGAAACGATAAAGTTCAGATATCCAAGGTTTCATCCTGATTACTTCTGTAGATGTAAATATAATTAGCTACATACGTCGTATTCACTTGCATATATATGTCAGTACATAATAAATTAAGTCATACTTATGTATTCATTTACAACACCCACATCGCACTTATTTAGATACTAATAGTCTCAGCTGCTGCATACATACAGAAACAAGAATTATAAGTTATAATTTATAACAAAAAACCATCGAATAAAAAAGTGAACTCATTTATTCACTCTTAGAAACCCACCATTAAAATAATAATACCAAGCCATCCTCATATGTAAATATATGACTCTACCGAAGTGGTATTAATAAATAAATAATACCGCATAGTAAGAGCTCGGTAGTAAAGTTTTACCAAATTCTTACCTAGCAGTACAATAATTTCTGCCTGACATTTAATTCAAATTCCTAACAGTGTGCATATGTAATACAGAGTGTCGTAGTATTTACCATGCATACCCGATTTTCCGAAATATGTACCGTTATACTTTCCATCATTGTGGTCAACGCAAGACCAAAAGGAACCAACAATTCAAAAATGATTGAAATTACGGGCACGAGATACGAGTACTCTCCTGCTGAATACGACATTTCCAAGTGCAATCCTACCATTGACCTAGACTTTGTAAAAATGCTAAAGACGAATGGAAATTGCGTCAATATTTATCCAAGCTCTAATTGTACCGGATGGTTCATTCGGTTTGCTTATCGTGATTCCTATATTCGCTTTCCCAAAACGTATCGCTGGGTTGGGGACGAAGTTATGCCTCGTGGGCTGGAGATTGGCTCTGTTGGACCTTGTTTTGATAAATGTGACGTAAGAAATTGGTACGGTGACCGGAAACAGGAACCCGCCCATGTCACGTTGTATGGCGAACGGGATTTCAGAGGTAATTAAATTAAGTAATGAGTACGCTTTAAATAGTCCGGTAGCAGGGTTTTACAAGGCAGTATCGTGATCCTTATAGTCATAACATTGGTCGAAAATATGTATCATTACCCCGGTGGTATTATACTCAACAGTTTCGTAATAAATTTAGGTACATACATATTACCGTTTTGTAACAAATTGAAGCATGACGATAGTCCCCAGCGGTCTTAAAATGCAAGTCTTTCACGTGTACAACTCAAATTTAGTTGGGACCAATTTTATTTTGTTCACCACAAAAAATGAGCATACCCGTATTTTTTCATTTTTCCTAATGCGCTAATTTGAGCGCGGGGCGCGAATTTTAAAACATTTTTCAGCCAAAACCTCGCTTTTTAAAAATTCTGTAAATTTTCGAATTTTAGCGCGAATCCAAAAATTCGAAAACATGTCTCTTCAGAATGACTTACTTGACTAGTGAAAAATCCACATGCATTATTTTTTGAAAAATTAAAAATTTTAAAAAGATTATAATTTTAATGAATTTCAAAAACTGGCAAAAAAATGAAATTCAAATTCCGAGACAATTGGATGTTTCACAAGTCAAGTAAGTCATTCTTAAGAGACATGTTTTCGAATTTTTGGATTCGCGCTAAAATTCGAAAATTTACAAAATTTTTAAAAACCGAGGTTTTGGCTGAAAAATGTTTTAAAATTCGCGCCCCGTGCTCAAATTAGCTCATTAGGAAAAATGAAAAAATACGGGTACAGACCTTAATCTCATAACCTTTTTCCCAGAACATAGACCGAACGAGCAATTGCTATTTCCTGAGGGTCATGCATGCAATCTTGATGAAAACTTGAAAGTATTCTATAAAATCACTCAAGGGGAGGGATACAACTGGCAGTTGAAAAAAATGTAAAATTTTACTTTGTCACCTTAAAAATACCAAAAAACTCCGAAAAAAAATATTTTTGGGGGTCAAAAAATAATTTCCTGTGGCGAATAACACTTGACTGTGTTTGCCTTAATTATTTGCACATTTTGGATGTGTGAATCAACTTTGAACAAATTGTGAAATTAGTGGTTGACCCTCCACATAAGCTGAATTGAGTAAATTATGAACTGTGCGGATGAGGCCGGCTTTCTTCACTCTCTTGTCTGGAGGCAAGGGGTTTCTTACTCATCCGCACGCTACATAATTTACTCCATCCAGCTTATGTGGAGGGTCAACCACTAATTTCACAATTTGTTCAAAGTTGATTTACATATCCAAAATGTTCAAATAATTAAGGAAAACACAGTCAAGTGTGTTTCGCCACAGGAAATTATTTTTTTTACCCCAAAAAATACATTTTTTCGGAGTTTTTTTTTATATTTTTAGGGTGACAAAGTAAAATTTTACATTTTTTTCAACTGCCAGTTGTTTCCCTCCCCGTGAGTGATTTTATAGAATACTTTCAAGTTTTTTATCAAGATTGTATGCATGACCCTCAGAAAATAGCAATTGCTCGTTCGGTCTATGTTCTGGGAAAAAGGTTATGAGATTAAGGTCTGTACGCTTTAATAATTGGATTACACGGAGTTAAGTGGAAAAGTCGAAGAAAAAGTTTTGCTTTATTTTGTCAATATTTCGAATGCTATCTGCTATTCATTATCAAGACATTTACAAGATGGGAAATTTGTTACAAGATTTCGTAGTTGAAATTAGTTAGTGTAAATTCATAAAAATAGTTGTCATGTTTGTGGCGTTGGATACTGGGGTCACGTTTTGAAGTGATAAAAAATGTAAAGGGACCCAACTTGATGAACCGAGGGAAAACCTTGCCATAAAGAAAAGAAGGAAAACCTCAGTCAATCCACCCAGACCCCATTTGGCATCAAGTTGGGTTGATGTTTTGTTGTGTGTCGCTTGAAAGTGGGAGTGGTTTTGTGTTAATAAATTTTGGATGTCGAATGATTGGTAGAAGTAAAGCTGCCCAAATGGGGTTGATGTTTTTGCCGTCATTAGAGTTGATTTTGTCTTTGTCAAGTTTTTTAATGTAAAGTCCTTCTTTGTATTTACGGTAAAAATATCTGTGTTCTGATTCAGTAAGTGCAGTGGATTGAAAATGGATGGTGTGAGTGGGATTGTCTTTGATATGTTGTGCTACTGCTGAAACGATTTTTTGCTCCGTCTGTACGCTTATTTTTTGTTGTGAGCAAAATAAAATTGGTCCCAACCAGATCTGAGTTGTACACGTAAAAGACTTGCATTGTTAGTTAGAACCCAATAAAACCCGGTTACAACCACCCCCGTAAACTCAGCTGACGAGGGCCAGGCCCACATGGGCAACTTATTCGTGATTGGTTGTTGGCACACATTGTGAGTTACATAGTGGGCAGCGGCTTTTGTATCTCACAATGTATGCCAACAACCCAACGAACATGTATTTCACCCCTCAAGAATGGACGTTACATGTATTTTTTTTCCCTTATGGCGATCCCCCTAAAGTGATTTTATTGGTTGGAGCTGCTTCTTCTCCGTGACGTCACTGGGCGGGTTGGCAGTTTCGGCTGCAACCGGACACAGCACAACCACCACCATTTTCTGCTTTTCGTAGTGCACTTTTCCTTCTCATCACAACAACAACTCTCTCAATGTCGGCCGATTGATTAATTAATTATTAAACGTATAATAAATTAACTAAGATTACACGTATCAATAATGCACCAAGATTAAACGTATCAATAATTAACGTAATTAATTTAACAATTCATTGAAATAAATCAATCAATCAATCAATAATTAACTAAGATTGCACGTACAAATAATTGTGATTCTTCATTTCAAGATAACACAAATAATTTGGTAAGATTCTTATTCATTTAAATCTCCGACTATACATGGTTACTTCTTCCAGCTTCTACATTTCAAGGTGGCACAATTAATTAGCAATATTTTTCCTCATTTCAAGGACGGGCCATTGATTAACACAAATTCTCATCGTGTCAACATCATATGTACAAATGATAAGGATTGTCTCCTAAGTCAAGGTTAGACGATTAATTTAGTAAGTTTTTTATTTCAACCTTCAAGATAAAACAATTAATTAACAATATTGTTCCTCGTTTCAAGGACGGTCCGTTGATTAGCAAGAGTTATCGTTTCAACAGTATACGTAAAAAGATAAGGATTCTTTCTCCACTCAAGGTAAGACGATTAATAATGCAGGATTATTTATTTCAAATTTCAATGTGACAATTAATTAACGATATTTTTCCTCACTTCAAGGACGGTCCGTTAGTTAGAAAAGTTATCATCGTTTCAATAGTATACGTACAAACTACAACGATTCTTTCTCCACTCACGGTAAGACGGTTAATTAAATAGGATCATTTATTTTAACATCCATTTGACAATTAAATAACAGCATTCTTTTTCATTTCAAGGACGAGCCGTTAATAAACAAGAATTCTCTTGATTTCAAAAGTATACGTACAAACTACAACGATTCTTTCTCCACTCAAGGTTAGACAATTAATTAAGTGGGATTATTTATTTCAACTTTCATGTGACAATTACGTAACAGTGTTTTTCATTTCTCCTCGTGTGAACATTATTCGTATATTATTAAAAGGATTATTTCTCCACTCAAGGTAAGATTAGTGATTAAGTAGTATTATGTATTTCTACTTTCAAGGTCACACAATTAATTAACAATATTTTTTCTCATTTCAAGGACGGTCTGTTAATTAGCAAGAGTTATCATCGTGTCAACACGTACAAATGATAAGGATTGGCTAGGAAGGGGCCATAAATTTGCAAGAATTCTCCTCTTGTCCACATTACACGTGTAAAGATTGATTTTTTTCCTTGAAGGTTCGAATCTCAATTTAGTAGGATTATTACTAATTTATAGCGAGGAGAATTAATTAAAAGGACTATATCTCTTTCAAGGTGATACAATTAACGTCGATGGTTCAAAATGGTTCGTTATAATAAATGCGCAGCAAAAGGATGCTCGAACAATTCGCGTAATGTTGATCTAAGCGTGTCATTTTTCGGACTCCCAACAGATTCTAAAAGGTCTGCGTTCCAAGGGTACCTTAGACAAAGTAACGTTACTAAACAAATAATTTATGTCTTGTTTGCATTTGATTGTAGACGTCAAAATGGTGTGCCATCCTAACCATTGATAAAGAAAATATTACTCCAAACACAAGAGTTTGTGGTAAACATTTCGCAAGCTCCCAATTCAAACAAACCCGACTTATCCGAGATGCAAGACCAAGGGTCCCTATCACCCAACCGCCTGCATCGACTTTACCGATTATGCCTGCATCTTTACCAACTACGGCGAAGAGTAACAAAATCATCATCAAAAAGCTGAAAGACAAGAATCGTTATTTAAGGACACGAAGAAGAAAGTCAAATATACTTTCGGAGATTGAGAAGGTATTTCAAGGCCATCCGTCGATGCTTGAGCTAGTTAAAATGCAGTATCAAAGGTTTATATTAAAGAGACGAAAGCACTATTCAATGGAAGAAACAATTATCGCCATCACCTTTTACTACTCTACCACACAGAAAGGATACAAATCACTACATGCTGAGGGCTATGGATATGTTTTAACAAGACGGTTTCAAGAAGATATTTTGGAACACTTTTTTGGATTTCAGCGAGGTATTCATGGCTTGTGCACGAATCCAACCACCAAACAATTTCGAGAGGGATTTAAATGTGGACTAATTCTTGACCTCATGCAAAATAAAGAGGGAAGAAACTGTGAGACGTTTGATACTAGTGCTGTTGTCCATAAGTATGTAGAAAAATTATCACTCATACTTAATCCTGAACAAAACAAATTTGTGCTTTCGTCAGGCCAAATGTCTTTTGCAGACGATAGTTCAGACAGTGAGTTCGAAGAAAATGAAATTGACGATAACGACCAGTTTCTGACAACTAACCAGCGTAACGACGTTTTCAGAATTGGTGAGATTAACGACTTCGATTGTGCTGATGAGACTGTTGCATGCTACGTGGGTAACTGGGCAGCCAAGAAAGTAATTACGAGAACAAAGTGTGATAGTTATAAAGGAATGCTTCGTTTCATCGAAGACAAGAATTTCACTAGTAATGACAGTTTATTGCAATATAAAGCGTACGATCTAGATAATATGATACGTAATAGGAAGGAACTTTCGTACATTCATATTCTAAATGACGAACATAACCTGGCTTTTGTAAATATTTTTAAGCTGTTTCGGCTAGGATGTATCTTTAGAATTAATTCACAGGGCACTAACTTAAGAAAAAATATTTGCAATTTAATATTAAGGGACGAAGAAATCAATTTGTGGGTGACAAGCAAGGCTGAGTGCATACAACACAAAAATTCAATGATTCAACTAATAGTAATAGCAAAGTTATATCAATTAGTTAAGAGACATAATCAGCTATATAAACAATCTAAAAGTTTTGGTCAGACAAGAGCTCAACTTTTGTATCAATAACAATAGTGAATAAATAAAAGTCATCAGTTGATATTGTTCTACACTGTAAACTGCAGAGAGCTGATTTATTTCGTCCGTGGCATCGAATCATCATCGAATCATATTTTCATTCTATTCTTTATAAAAGCAGAAGCTGGTCAAGTTTGTCGGGAAGCTCGCGAAATATTTTCGTCTTCGCAATCGAATCAGTAGAATAAGACCATGTCAGGTATTCAAGCCGCGAGAGATCCAGAAGAGGAAAAATTTAATTGATTGTACCACCTTGAGAGAGAAATAGTCTTGTTGATTAATAGTTCAATCTTTAAATCAGTACACTACTGATTAATCCTACTTAATTAAGCGTCTAACCTTGAGTGGAGAAAGAATCGTCCTTGTTTGTACGTATATTGTTGAAACGATGGTAACTCTTCTAACTAACGGACCGCTCTTGAAATTAGGAAAAACATCGTTAATTAATTGTCACATTGAAATTTGAAATAAATAATCCTGCCTTATTAATCGTCTAACCTAGAGCGGAGAAAGAAGATGATAACTCTTGCTACTTAACGGACAGTCCTGGAAATGAGGAACACTATTCTGAATGAATTTTGTTATCCTGAAGGTTGAAATAAAAATCTGATTAAATTAATCGTCTTACTTTGAGTAAAGAAAGAATCCTTACCTTTGTACGTGTACTGAAACGATGATAAATCTTGCTAATTAACGGACCGTCCTGGAAATGAGGAACAATATTGTGAATTAATTGTGCTACCTTGAAATGAAGAAGCTTGAAGAAGTAACAATGTATTGTCGAAGAATCCCAATTATTTGTACGTGCAATCTTAGTTAATTATTGATACGTTTAATCTTGGTGCATTATTGATACGTGTAATCTTAGTTAATTTATTATACGTTTAATAATTAATTAATCAATCGGCCGACATTGAGAGAGTTGTTGTTGTGATGAGAAGGAAAAGTGCACTACGAAAAGCAGAAAATGGTGGTGGTTGTGCTGTGTGCGGTTGCAGCCGAAACTGCCAACCCGCCCAGTGACGTCACGGAGAAGAAGCAGCTCCAACCAATAAAATCACTTTAGGGGGATCGCCATAAGGGAAAAAAATATATGTAAAGCTCCATTCTTGATTGATTCATTCTCTCTGCCAACAACCAATCACGAATAAGTTGCCCAAGTGGGCCTGGCTCTCGTCAGCTGAGTTTACGGGGCTGGTTACAACATAATTAACACTTTATACATAATTCCAATCGGCTAAAGCGCATTATGTAAAACCCCCGAAAACCACAACTCAATAGAGTCCGGGATACGTACATCTCGTCGAACGAGCAACTCGTCGAATTGTATTATTGAACTTGTCGAATTTAAGTTAGATTGATCTCGTCGAAATGGTCTGCCTACGCTGTTTCCCAATTTATATAAATATTTGTGATGTATGATCGTTTCAGGTAACTCCACGAGTATCAGTATCGACGGAGACGGATGTTTCTTAATCCCACTGGGGTTCGGAACATGGATTCACTCCATGAAAATAACCGGCGATGAAAACTCGTGCATCGAACTTCACGATGTGGCCAGTTGTGGTGGAAAATTCACCCAGTTTCGCCCTGATTATCCCGAGTTGCAGAATTTGTTTGGCTGGGTATTAGAGGACAAGGATACGTTTGCGTCGCTTGTAAAGGCAATATCGAGGTGTGGACAGTTCTGTAATAAATCTGTGCCCGACATCAACCCTAAAAGTGTGGCGCCGATTTGGGGGAAAAACATAGTGACGCTTTACAAATACCAGGGTCATTATGGTATGTTTCTATTTGCATTCTTAGAAATGTAGTAATAAAATAATACTAACTAAGCGGTTTTCACAAATATTTACATATGTGTGACATATTTATCTATGTACATTCAGGCCATTCCGTCAATCTTAATCTTACCAATGGCTGCGTCTCTTTGGCCAACGAACGGCAGTATGCAGTCGTCCAAACGTACGGACAATGTGTTGTCTTGTACGGACTGGCGAACTGTGAAGAAAAACAGGGTTTTTATACCCTCCAAACTAGGGTATGCAATACCGGGATTGTTTTCCAAAACCGGTATTCGGTATTTTCGGTATTGGGACCCTCGGTAATACCGGTATTACCGACACCATATGTTAAATATGTATTAAGCTAAGGAAAATGATCATACGAAGCAATACATAGTGAAAACTCTGCAAGGCATTAAATGCTGATAAGTGGGTTCAAATCAAATCAGCTACTGGTTCAAATTTTTATGCCCTTTAAGATGGCCTTATAGATTTGTCAAGATGTCTGTGTGTCCGTTCGTCTGTACGCGCGATAACTCTCTTTAAACACTAGCTAGCGACCTGAAATTTTGCACACTTCATCTTAGGGTCAAAAGTAAGGATGAGTTCGAAGATGGGCATGATCGGTCAAGTGGTTGGCCGGTGGGGGTCATTTCCAAACAAATGTGTTGCCATTAACTACCAAACTGGCATTAATGCCATCTTAAAAGGCCCCACAAAGTTGCTTGGAGTAGGTTTTAACTATTAATTATCTGATATGCGCACCATGTTATATTGGCTCCTAATGTCGCAACTTTTACAAATTCATCAAGTTTTCTACATAACTAAACAAGCACATGAGCCAAAATTTCCAAAAACTCCAAAATTCTAACATTATCTGAAAATACATTTCGTGTGTACATATGTAACATTACTAAAAAGCAAAAGATATTTTCCGAGAAATTAAAAATTTCTGCTTGAGTCGTAAAATAGTTGTTAGTTGACTGAATCGATTTATCAGATTACGGTATCCGTGAAGCATTCCTGGGGTTTGTATCTTCCTGACAATAATGATTCGGCTATTTAAAATTCAGTATTTTTTCGTATGATTTCTGCAGATACGCGGTCTTTTATGAGTCTCGTACACGTAAAACGGTTTACCCAGATTGTGAGCTTTTTAGAAACTTTTATACACCACAATCTGCCTGAATAAACATCTTATTTAATATTATAAGTTATCGAGGCGTCGATTTCTCAAGTATTTTCTGAAAATATTCGGAAACTAATTTTTGGAAGTGTTCTAGAATATTCACAAATAAAGTTAAATGTATGTTGGGTGTGAGTGATAAATTTCCCATAATTTTTATCTGCCAAAAATTTGATTTTTTATTTTGAACCAGTTGAATTTGCTTGACTGAAGGACGGTATCATTATGTCAAATTTTTAACTTGAATACCGGTATTGAGCTCGTCAATACCGGTATTCGGTATTCGGTAATACCGGTGAATACCGGTATTCGAATACCGGTATTGCATGCCCTACTCCAAACGGGAGGGAAACCAATAGAGTATTTTATTCAGAAACTTATCTACCTTACGATTCCCGTTTATCCGAAATCCATGAAGTTGTGTGGTGACGATGACGAACAAGTGGAATTAGTGGACGAAGAAAAGTTTGGACTGGAGAATACGTCATCCCATGTCTCGATACCGATTTGGGCAGTGATTCTGTTCTGTGTAGGGGCCTTGTTTGTTCTCGTCTTCACTGCGGTGAGGGGAGCATGTGTTTATAAAAGTTATGCAAATATTGACAATAAAAGACAAGTGGAACGATTAAGTGTCGCGTACAAATCGGATGCATGAGGTTTCTTTGTCTTGAAACTGGGAAAAGAATTTGCATGAGAATGAGAAGTGTACGAATAATGATTATAATTTGATTTATTAGGTATAGCTAAGGGGCCGTTCATAAATTATGTAAGGCGCGACGGATGGGGGACTAAGGTGTCAATAATAAATATCCTGCCTATTTTAATGGAGGGTCCAGAAAATCATGATTTTTACTCTACATAATTTATGAATGGCCCCTAAGTGTCGATAAGTAATCTGGCAAAATATCGCCCGTGGAGTGGGACAGGTGAATGTATGTATACTATTAAACTTGTTACCGACCCATAATAAATTTGTTACCACGCTTGTAATAAACAATTTTATTTGTATTTAATTACGTATTTATTACGTAAATTACGTAAATTCCATATGGACACCAACAATTCTACCATTTATAAAAAATTCATAAATTTCCAAGAGAATTAATGTAATATTTTTAGTCAACAATTATGAAAGTGTCCAACTTGTAAAATAATTATATTAGTTAACCCTGAAGAAGACAATATTTATTTGTCGAAAGCTTGGTGAAGCAATATAAAACTGTAAAGTTTTATAAATAGTCCTCATAGACCGTTTCACAACATTTTCATCAATAGTGAGAGGATGGAAGGATGTCATAAACAGCGCCCGATCTTGCAAATTTGCTCCCGGGGCAAGATGGAGACGGCGCCCCTGTGTTGGAATTTTTCACATGGTAGCTAATATGTAAGTATGTATCTACTTTTAATGATTTTTCGCCAACACTCTTTTAAAGAAATTTAAGTTTTCCCCGTTAATGCAGGGTTAATTTGTTAAAACGATTTGTATATTGCCATAATTATATAAAACAGGGTGCCTTTTTTTGGGGAACTATTAGGAATTAACTATGATGGATATATGTCAGCCGTAAAGCTCCTGGTTACATAGAAAATTTCATGCTCAGGTCAATCTAAAACGTAAATTATGGAGAAAAATAAATTTATGCGTATCATTTTTTAGGCTTGTGTCACTTTTCGAATTTTGGCAAATAATCATGCATTAATGTGTGTCCAGAATTGCTTTTGAGTTAAAAAATGCATTTTTTATGCAGATCTTAATGACTTGTTTATTAATTTCGAAATTTCTAAATTTGGGTCAGTTTCATTAACATTATTTTAGACTGATCCGTTTTCAAAGCGAAATTACTGATCAAAGGGTAGCATTCTAACGTTTTCAATTTTTAATGGCGCAAAGGTTCGAAGAGTTTAGAATTATTCAGAATCAGTTTAGAATCAAGTTAATTTCGGATACTAAATACGAAATTTTTGAGGGTTAGAAACACCCAAAAAAACGTAACCAAGAAATCACTTGTGGAGAGTGGAGATAATGCCCCTATAAGGTGTCCAAAGTTGACGTGATGAATTGTTCAGTTTTTGTACTACGAAAGTTGCTGGAGGTAATTTTTTAAAGGCTTGCATATTTACATATGTAATTATTCAGATACCATCAAAATCTTCAAAATTAAAAAATCAAAAGTTTTGGCCCAACGTCAGCATTCCTTCACCTGTCCTTCCACTTAGGTTAAATAGTTCCTGCATTTCTTAAAAGATTAGCATAAACAGGCCGTGAATCAGCTAGATAAAGTAAATAGGTGGGGCGTCGTATTAGTTCATGAGGTTCAGCCAGCCACAAGCGCGATTAGATGTTTTCCATACTTAAGCATCTCTATAGTTCGCTTATGGTTGTGTGACAACTGCGCCGGTAGTAAATTGCGTCTTTAATTTTTTGCTATGTTTGTGAATAACAAGTAAGCTGTGGGCGCCTGTCGGCGCCCTTAGAATTTGGCGCAATGGGCAATTGCCCCGGTTGCCCTCCCCAATTTCGGGGCCTGGTCATAAACTACGTATTTATTATTAATTCTTGATGTCATTTAGTTAATTAAAATTGAGAAGTTCATTTAAGTCATTGAATTACATATTGCATACAACGTGAAAGAAACGACACATGTTCATGAACTTATCGGGCATAAATAAATTGTTCAAAGAAATATAGATTTTTAAGATACGTGAACAGTAATCAGATAAATGTGCAACCCTACCGATAAAATATTCCTGCTTCTGTCCCAGTTCTTGCTTTAAATCCTTATCCATGAACCTGTTTATTTATAATCCGCTCCCCTTGAGCAGTACCAGAGATAGGTTTTGATTTATGCAAAAATTATGCAAAACCAACGGTGTCCCATTATCTATGAAATTCGAGCCAAACTTGATCTTCAGCCCGGTACAGGCCTTTAACTCCTTTCTCAGTTTCTCATCAATTTTGATCTCCAATTCACAAGTTCCAAGGAGGAGAGCACATGTCGCGAGAAGCCGTTAATTCGTGATGCCAGTGTTCCGATGAGAATATTGCTTATCATGGAAGAACCAACGAGCAAGGGATACACGAGAAATCCAGGCATTGGAATTTCATTATAAAATGAGATGCTTGCAAATAACGAGAAAATCTCGAGCACAGGGTTGCAAAGCATCATGGCGGGAATGATTCTTTCCGAAATGAAGACGTTAAATGATTTCTCCAAAATTTGAACGTAGCGGTAAAGCTGGATGAAATCGGAATGGTACAGTCACACAAATCCGACCGGGTTGTGATAAGTCTAAATTGCCATGAGAAAATAAGATTATCAGTTATTACTCGTTTTCAACAATTCTTTCTTCTTACGGACAGCATTACAAAGACAATTCCTCGTTCTCATGCAAGGAATTACGTAAAGAACAATATTTTGAAGCAGTTTCATGCAAGTGAGTTTTAGGCAGTTTTAGTTTCCTAGAAATAGTCTTATTTCTTTGCAGTGTAAGAAACGTAAGAACTCGCTAGAAAGGAGTGCAAGATATATTTGCCATCTTGCGACCAGCCATATGAACCATCTATGGTATCCAAAAGTAGTACATTGCGCCTTGCATTTCTTCAATGGCAAAATAACTACATTAATATGTACATATATAGTGGCAAGAAACAATGCTATGGAACACCATGGTTAAATTGGAGATTCGATCAAAACGAGTGAAGGTGAGCGCTCTACCAGACAAAATATTAACTACCACAGAACCTGAGACACAATTTGAGGCTGGATAAGAAGCAGGCCTGTGTCCTATATGTGGCGTGCAGGCCTGTGCCTGAGTGATGGCGACTCGGGTTGGTGGTACATCGTCGTCGGAAGTTTGGTAGCGGACAAGTCGAGGGAAGAACAACTCGCTGGCGGACAAGTAAATAAAGAGGACAAGTCGAAGAAGAATATTTGGTCGAAAATATGGAATTGTGTTTTAGCTTTAAAATTTACACTCAAATTAAATTGTGTACAAGATTGTCAAAAATTAGGTTTCTTGTCTTTTTGAAAATTTCCATGTGTTAGTCTATCTACGCTTTAAGCATGGGACATCGCTATGTGTTGGAGCAAAAGCAGTTAAACATTGTGCGATAAGAGCCTGAATAATAGGTTCTTCTTTGACTTATCAACAGGTCGTTATGTCTTTTATCGACATGCGTAACTCTACCTAAGAACTTAAGTTCTTAGGTAAAATGCTAAGTAGCATTTTAATGCCACACGTTTTACAAAGTCATTTAATTCGAGCGTCTGATAATTTTCAACCAGATTCAATATCTGCCGATTTAGTTGAATTTGTACCGGTTAGCTGCGGGAGGGTTGCTAGAAATTTTGACACTCGACCGTGGCGTTACCACGGTCTAGTTTTGCTCACTTGAAAATACTTCAGTAATCTGTAAGGAGGGATATGAGAACTTTCACACAAAATTCTGAAGCGTCTGTTTCAATTTTCTAGTGAATTATTTGTTCAAGCTCCATTGATTTTTACCCTATTATGCACACTCCAAATAATGCTCTTTTGTAGAGGGACGACACATATGACAAACATAAAATTGGATTCGACGAAAATGTTAGACTACGACACTTTTCGCTCCCACGAGTTACCCTACTACGAGTTGTCCAACTACCACCCTACCCGCCTTCGAATTATCCAACGATGATTTACCCGTAACCCTGGCGACTCGCCACCACTCAGGCACAGGCCTAGTGATGGTAATCCGTAACCGATCCTATCCTAGGATCGTAAAAACTCGGATAGGATCGGATTTTCACACGGATCGGATAGAGGATCCGAGGATCAGACAATCCGATCCGATCCGAACCGATGAAATCCTAGGATCGCACAGGATCCTCGGATCATCCGATGTAAACTCGTTTCACATTTGGTGAGTTCATCACATGGCGTACATTATCCGAATGAGCCGAATTATCCTATTATTTTACACCACTTATTTTTATTTTTGCGTTCAAATTATTCAATTTCGTATGATTTCAACGCCAAAATAAAAATAACTGGTGTAAAATAATAGGATAATTCGGCTCATTCGGATAATGTACGATGTGATGAACTCACCAAAAACCGTTCCAATAAATAAATAAAAGCAGCTGGTAAAGTTTTTCCATAGTTAGACACAAGGTGTCTCACACATGTCATCCGCGGATATCCTACGATCGGATATCCTAGGATCGGACCGCATCGGATTTCGAGTAGAACCGGGAGCCGATCCGATCCTAAAGCGAGCAAATCCGATCCGATCCGATCCTGTATTTATCCGATCCTATCCTACGGATCGGTTATTTTAGGATACGGATTACCATCCCTACACAGGCCTGAAGTAATCACCCTTACTCTATGAACAAAGAGTCGCTTCATCCATATACCTGCATGTTAATCTACCGGATTTTAACAGAGTTCATACACACATATGTTCTCCAATATCTCATACATACACACATAACCATTGAAAAGTGACTAATAAAAAACAACATTTTGCACAAATCTTATACATATATTCCCCATTAAGCACACGATCTCTCGCGTCAAGAAAGGTTAAAGTTCAGATATGCCAGGTTTCAGCCGGATTTCTTCTACAGATGTAAATATATTAACTGCCTCGCATTCACTAGTTTATGTGGACATTATATATGTATATAAATACATATGTAAATTAAGTCATACTTATTAATTTGCAACACCTACATCGCACTTATTTTTACAGATAGTTTCAGCTGCTACATGCATCCAGAAACAGGAATTATTACAAAAACATTCAATAAAAAAGTGCACTCATTTACAAATATATACACTCTTAGAAATCCAGCATTAAATAATACCAAGCCATCATCATACATAAGTAAGTATGTATGTACTTATGTACATACATATATATGCCTTTACCAAAGTGGTTATATTAATAAGTACTTAATACCGCACAGTATCTAATAAAGCTTTACCATATCGGTGTAGCAAATTTTGGCGGACCTGTATAATACTTCATTTTAAAACCAAGCAGTAACAAGTTTAATGTTTAATTCCTGCTTGACTTCTAGATAATTCGAATTTCTAACCGTGTGCCTAACACAGTAACATTTACCATGCAGACCCCATTCACCGAAATATTTACCGTTATCCTTTCCCAAGTAGCCAAGTCATGCAAGTATTGTACCTTAGTGGTACAACAAAATATGTGCAGGTTTCATGCAAGTTTGACCATTTTTATTTGCATTACATGTACAAACAACTAGTGCAGATTTTGTACGAGTGATATGCACTAAAAATGCACTGCATAGTGGCGTGTACTAAACCTGCAGTATAAGTTAGTGCAAATCTAGTACACAAAATTATGCACAAAATATGTACAATTAATCAATGCTAGTTATGTATCACATGCTTGTAGATTTATGCATATAATAAATGAATTTGCATATTTTTAACAATTATTTAATTTATTAGCTCAAAAATGATAATCCTTTGATCTTTAAAGTAAAAAAAATAATATCCCATCAGCTAATTACACAATGGTATACAAAAATATTTCTTGCCACTAATAGGCAACAAGACACATTTTTTGTAAATGCTACCTTTAGCAATTTCGCATTCATATACATCTAAATTATAAACTACATAAATACCTAGTTTACCACTAGCACAAGGGTAAAGGTTAACATCTTCTTTGGACTTGAAGTATTTTACACTAACATTATCAGAATCAGAAGTTTTGCAATTTAAAATGCAGAATCTCCCATCTTTTGTAACGTAACAGTTATCGGCTGGCGAGCCACCTAATTTTAAAGCTTTTACCTTATCTAAAGTTGAGCTAGAGAATTCGTCAATCTCTCCAATGCGCTTTACAATTTGGCTTAAATGAGCTGACTTAGAGCGGAGCAATTTTTTCAAAGGAGACATGTAATTTTCAAACTCGAAAGCACTATAATTATCTAAAGGACCATGAATAATAACATCTTGCCCTACATGAAGAAGACTATGCATGTTATAAATTAATAATTCCTTGTAATAAAGTTTAGGAATCTCGTGCACAAATTTGTTTAGTAAACTTTGTGCAAAATCTATCCATTTACATTCAAAAGACTACAAACTAAAATATACATCGCAGAGTGAAATAATAGAAAATGTTCATACTTTTTTCCGTCAAGAATATTCCTTAACGTAGCGGGACCAACATATAGTAAGAAAAGTCTAAACTCGGTGGCTTTCCAATGTTTTAAGTCATTAATACCTCGACATTTTCGAGCAAATTCTTTAGGTACTTGAACTCTAAAATTAATTAATCTATCTGATATTATTTTTTGTTGAACACTGGATAATTTATGTGGCCGCTTTCCCTCCGTCCAAACAAGCAATAATTTTTTCATTGTTCCTAATAAGCAAAGGTGCATGTAATCTAAAGGAATCTGTGAAATCATACCAAGAGACAATGATTCTAAAGGAGATGGCAAAACGTCTTTGTGATGACATTCGTACCAACGCTCTCTAAAAGACTGGTCCGTATATTCTTCACAAGGAGCTTTAATTGAATAGAGAATACGGGAATTTTTATAACTACCTCTGCGATAACACCTTTCACATCCAAAATAACCATTGTGGGCTTTTATTCGCTTAAGAAAGCTGCGAGCCGGCGCATCAGCTACAAGACAGCGAATCCTAACTGAATAATGACAGCCTTTAGCGTGCACACCATTTTGCTCCAATTTTAGCATTTCTTTGACAAATGGACCCAAGAAGGTTTCTAAACTTTGTGGCTTTTGAGATCCATAAAATAAACTCCAAAATTGCTTGTTTGAACTTCTGGAAATTGGCAATCCATCTATTCCAATTTTAAGTGTTAAAAGATTCCGTAATTCTAGAAAATTGCTCAAATTGGGAATTGTAAAATCTAATAAGTTCCCCGATTCTATTACTTCATTAATATGTTTGAGGATTCCGAAGTGATAAAATTTTCCCCCTTCAATATCCCTAATTTCTATGACCCGTTTAGTTTTTAAAAGTGTTCTAGGATCCATTGGAAACCCCTCATGAGGCAGCCATTCACGGGCTAAATATAATAGTTTTGACAGAGCGATATGACTAATATTAAACTCGGTTGCCCATTTACCTAACTGAATTAATTTAGACTTATTATTAATTGGTGGGATAACAGAACAAGTTGGCATAAGATTTTCAGCTTCCTCAATTTGCAAATTACTTTCTACATGTTCTAAATTAGCGATGTGACGAGAATGCTGGTTGTTTGATTCGTCTTCATTACTCGTCTCTGCCAGAATCGTTGTCGTACGTTGAGTTCGTTGAGTTCGAATTCTCTTGAGTGCCGCGGTGACCACCCTCTCCGCTCGCCGTTGCAGTGTTCTGCGTGGGGTGACAAGTTTTGTTTTCATTTCTCGATTTATCACGTTGTGAGGACTGTCGAAACCAGGAAGCAATGAAGCGATTGATCTGGCGATCCGTTAATCCAGGATTTGATAGTCTGACGGACTCTGAAAGTGAAAAATAATTATTATTATTTAAAAAAATACTACAATTTGTATTCTAATGTGTATGACTTGGTTTGTTTACCACGAGTAAGTTTTACGAATAACTTATCCCCAACTGCTGTTTTTCCACTCTTACTGGTATAGCGAAGGGTCAGCGCCAGTTGATGACAAATCATCCAATCAAGGGTGTCGTAAACACACTTCGTGCCACCGGAATTACCACCAACTTTTGACAATATCAAAACCTGAAACACATAAGCAATATATATTCTTATTTCCTACAACAGTTATCAATATAAAGCAAGCAAAATAGAATTTGAAAAACATATATAGTACATACTTCTTCCTGGTAGTTGCGTGGGTCCAATAACCATAATTCGACTGCATCCACGTCAGCTGTTGTTTTAATTGGCCATTTCCATCCAGCCCAGCGGGAGTTGGCACCTCGATTTTGTAATGAGTTCAATAGAAGATTCTCCAAATTTTGCACTCGTTCCAGTAAAAATGCTTGGTTTCGTAATGATTCTTCTTGAAAATCTGCAAGTTCAGAAAAAGTATTTTTACAATGCAAAATATAACCAAGTAATATTATTTAATAAGTACTTCTAAATTCTGAAAATAGCTCTGAGAGTTGCTGATCCGCCTCAACTCGTATGTATGGAATTTGTAGGGTCTGCAGCTGTTGATCGTTTGGGATTTTAGCAGGACCGTTCACTTGCCGACTCGAGCCTAAACCACAATTGATATTTTTATACATTTTAAGATCAATATAAAATGTACTTTTTTTAAAGTTCTCACCACTATTTATTTGATGAAGCAACGACGGAGGTGGTTCTGATACGGCCGGGGTGACAAGGACTTCTTCATTTTTTCGAAATCGTTTTCCTCGTCCTAATTCTGCATCAGTCGAGTCAACCTGTTGATTCCTAATGTGCTTTTTTGCTTTTCCCTGTGCTCTTTTGTAGTTATCTAAAAATTAGATAAACAAAATATGTTAAGAATGAAAATTTACCAGTAATTTTAATTCAGTAGGTTGGACTAGAATAAATTTACCATGAACTCTGACACAAGTGACTTCATAAGTAATCCAATCCTGGCCAGGAACACTATTTAGGTTGGATTGAATACTTTCAAAATCCTTCGGAATCGGATCAGGAAACGGACAAAACTTTTTTCCTACTTTTTCCGATATCCAAGAACCTGGAACAACACTTACTCCATTATCTAAGTGAAACTCGACAACCGTGAAAGTTTTATCACTTTGGTCTGCACTTTGAACCAATTTTTCCATGTTAATTAATTATTTAATATTTTAAGAAAGAAGAAAACCACGTTTTGACGGCTGTAGGAAATGAGTAGAGAACTGTGTAGCATGAAGATGGCGCCTGATCACCCTTTTTTTCTTTGTGCATATTTGATGCTAGTTTGGTGCATGGAAATCTGCAGCAGAATTCATATATTATTTGGTGCATATTTGGTGCATATTTGATACAGATTTTATGGTACAATTTTAATGTAGATAAGTTTGCATAAAACTTATACATATATTTAATTACTAAGTAGATGCCCAGAAATACGTACAAAGTTGGTAAACATTTTGTACAAATAGACTTGTAAATATGTGTTAGTGCATAATGTTTACTTTTCATGCACAAATTTTATTGTACTAAAATATCTGCACAAAATCTGCATAAATTTTCATTGTGACTTGCACAAGATCTGCACAGAGGCTACTTGGGTTCCATCCTTGTGATCAACTCAAGTCCTGGAATTTCAGAAGGAATCAACCATTCAAAAATTATCGGAATTACGGGCAGCTACTCTACTGCTGAATATGACGTTTCCAAGTGCAATCCTGTCATTGGCCTAGGCATTGTAAAAATGGTATCGACGAATGGAAATTGCATCAATATTTATCCAAACTCTAATTGTACCGGATGGTTCATTCGGTTCACTTATCGTGAGTCCTATGCTCGCTTGCCCCGAACTTATCGCTGGGTTGGGGACGAAGTTATGCCTCGTGGGCTGGAAATTGGCTCTGTTGGACCTTGTTTTGATAAATGTGACGCAAGAAATTGGTACGGTGACCGAAAACAGGAACCAGTCCATGTCACGTTGTATGACGAATGGGATTTCACAGGTAATTAAATTAAGTAATGAGTACGCTTTAAATAATCCGGTAACAGGGTATTACCGGCGGGCTATCCTTATGGTCATAATGTTTGTTTGTATCATTACCAGTTATACTCAACAGTTTTGTAACAAATTTAGGTGCATGCATACTACCGTTTGGTAACAAATTGTTAGCATGGTGTTAGTCGCCAGCGGTCTTTGTTAAAACTCGGTTAAAACATAGTTAATACTTTTTAATTACAACCCGCTGAAACGCCTCATGTAAAACCACAACCTCAATAGAGTCCGGGATACGTACCCCTCGTCGAATAAGCTCTCGTCGAACGGGTAACTCGTCGAATTTACTTAGGTATCATTAAACTCCTCGAAACCAACCACTCGAATTTAAGTTTAATTGATCTTTCGTCGAAATGGTCTGCCTACGCTTTTTCCCACTTGAAGTAAATATTTGTAATTCATAATCGTTTCAGGTAACTCCACGAGTATCAGTATCGACGGAGACGGCTGTTTCTTAATCCCACCCTGGTCCGAAACATGGATTCACTCCATGAAAATAACCGGCGATGAAAACTCGTGCATCGAACTTCACGATGTGGCCAGTTGTGGTGGAAAATTCACCCAGTTTCGCCCTGATTATCCCGTGTTGCGGAATTTGTTTGGATGGGGATTAGGGGACCAGTATACGTTTGCGTCGTTTGTAAAGGCAATATCGCGGTGTGGACAATTCTGCAATAAATCTGTGCCCGAAATCAACCCTGAAAGTGTAGTGCCGAGTATGGTGGGGAAAAGCATAGTGACGCTTTACGAATACCAGGGCCATTATGGTATGTACATATCTATTTGCACGCTTGGAAATGCAGTAATAAAATAATACTAAGCGGTATTCACAAATACATATATATGACATATTTATCTACATTCAGGCCATTCCATCAATCTTAATCTTACCAATGGCTGCGTCTCTTTGGCCAACGATACCAAGTATGCATTCGTCCAAACGTACGGACAATGCGTTATCTTGTACGGACTGGCGAATTGTGAAGAAAAGCAGGGCTTTTACACCCTTCAAACGGGAGGGAAACCAGTAGAATATTTTATTCAGAAACTTCTCTACCTTACGATTCCAGTTCCCCCGAAATCCATCAAGTCGTGTGACAATTACGACCTAGTGGAATTAGTGGACGACCAAGTGCCACGAGTGGACGAGGAACAATGTGGACTGGAGAATACATCATCACTCGTCTCGATACCGATTTGGGGAGTGATTCTGTTCTGTGTGGGGGCCATGTTTGTCCTCGCCTTTACTGCGGTGGGGGGAGCATGTGTTCATAAAAGGTGTGCACATATTGACGATAAAAGACCAGTGGAACGATTAAGTGTCGCGTATAAATCGGATGCGTGAGATTTCTTTGTCTTGAAACTGGGCAAAGAATTTGTATGAGTAGTGTACGAATAATTCTTAGAATTTGATTTATCAGGTTCAGGTATCACTAAGGGGCCGTTCAAATAAATTATGTAAGGTGCGACGGAGGTGGGACTAACAATAAGTCAGTGATAAATATGGTGCCTATGTTAAAGGAGGGTCCAGAAAATCGTGATTTTACTCTACATAATTTATGAACGGCTCCTAACCCGACGAACCAAAATCTGCAACTATTGTACTAAATTTGTACAACTGGATTAATGCATATTTTCCGTGAAAATGTGAAGCTGACTTGTGCTTATTTTGTACAAGTCAGATGTACAAAATTCATACCAATAATTTATCACTACAAGTTTACTTGTACCAAATATGCACAAAATTAACACAAACAAATATGTACGCATTTTGTGTAAATTTGGTGATGATTAATATGCATTAATGAGGTGCGACTTTAGTGCGAATTTGGTGCGAATTTAGTGCGAATTTGGTGCGAATTTAGTGCGAATTTGGTGCGAATTTAGTGCGAATTTGGTGCGAATTTAGTGCGAATCTATTGCTAATTGTGTGTTAATGCTACGCATGAAATTAATACACATTCATTTATACGAATTACTCAAATTTCAATTATTGTTTATTTATTGAAACTTGATCTGCAATGAATTTATTTCTACAATAATGTATCCTTCAAATATTTAACTAATTAAAAGATGAATTGCAAATTGGGATACAAAAATATTTGTCATTAATTGGCAGAATTATGCATTTACGGCGCAAAGAGACAGGTGAAATTAAAATGTATTCCTGAGCAATGTCACATAAAATGCAAATATCTAACTTAGAACTTTTGCAAGGATATTGTTCCACGTCTAGTCGACTTTTAAAAACCTTGGCTTCGAACTCACTGTCAGATATCTTATTAGTTAGTATGCAATATCGTTTATCAACAGTTAGCCAAACATTGTCACCACTTTTTGTACTCGGTCCACTATTTCGTAAACTAGTTTTTTCGACTGCAGATGAAAATGATTCTATTTCACCTACCCGGTGAATTACTTGACTCAGATGGGATGAGTTGGATCGAATCATTCTTTTTATAGTTTGCATAAAATTTTCGAATTCAAATGCACTGTAATTGTCCAAGGAGCCGTGACTCTCGACATCCAGTTTTACATGCAACAAACTATGCATATTATAAATCATCAACTCAGGATAATACAGTTTTGGGATTTGCTCCACAAAATTATCTAATAATTTTTGTGCAAAAGCAACCCAATCGGGTTTTTTTGTGCAATTTGATACAAAAATATAGATTGCAGTATGAAATAATAAAAAGTGCTGATACTTTTTATCGTCCAGAACCTTCCTGAGAGCAGCAGGAGCAACGTAAAGTAAAAATAATCGAAATTCTGTTGCCTTCCAATGCCTTAAGTCTTGAAGACTTCTACATTTACGCGAAAAGTTACAAGGGATTTGAGTTCCGAAGGAGATAATTCGATTAGAAACTATTGATTTCTGGAGATTTGACAATTTATGTGGTTTCTTGCCCTCAGTCCAAACAAGAAGTAACTTTTTCATAGTGCCTAGTAAGCACAAATGCATATAGTCAAGAGGAATCTGAGAAATCATTCCTATTGACAGAATCTCTAATGGAGAAGGGTTAATTGATTTATGATGTGACTCATACCAGCGTTCTTTAAATGATTGATCTGTATAAAGATCACATTCCTTCTTTATTGGGTAAAGAATTCTTGAATTTTTATAAGTTCCACGTCTATAGCAACGTTCACAACCAAAGTATGCGTTATGCGCATTTATTTGTTTCAAAAAACTTCTTGCAGGTGCATCTGCTGTGATGCAGCTTATCCGAATAACGTAATTAATGTTTCCAATTTCTAAGCCGTGTGCTTCCAGACCCTGCATTTCGGTAACGAAAGGGTGTAAGAACGACTCGATTGATTGAGGTTTTTGGGATCCATAAAATAAGCTAATAACAAATATAGTTGAGGAAGGATCTTGATCAATTTTACCAAGAATTGGCCAAAATTGTTGGTTTGAACTTTTGGAAATGGGAAGCCCGTCTACGCCAACTTTAATTGAAATTAAATTTTTTATGTCTCGAAAAATTGGGGATCGAGTTTTTGATAATTTTACGCGTTGTACAATTTTGATAATCTGCGAAGTTAGTCCAAAATGATGAAATAATCCACCTTCTATTTCGACAGCCCTAATATTTCTGTCCGTTTTCAATAAGGTTCGTGGATCCTTTGGAAAACCTTCCAATGGCAACCAATCCCTAAGTAGTCCCAAAAGTGGTGACAATGCATTATGATTAATATTAAAACCCGTTGCCCATTTGCCAAGCTGCCATGATTTTGAAATATTTTTCTCCACAATGTGCAATTCATCTTTACATGAGCTGTTAGTATCACTAATACTACTCAGACTAACTAATTCGGTATCATTTAACTTAATATTATTTAGAGCGCCTACCCCTTCACTATTATCATCATTATCATTACTGACTATTTGATCCGGCGATGGTGTTGTCGGCGGTATTTGAGACTGGGGAAAATCTATCCGTATCCGCTTCAGTGCTAGTTGAAGCCATTTCTCCGCCCGACGTTTCTGCGTTTGTCGTGATGTCAACATTTTCGGTCGAAATAACTTTCATTCGAAACCAGCACCCAATGTGATGATTGATTATTGAGTCTTTTACAGAAGGGCCTGGATTTCCAGCTTTAACAGAATCTGTTGTATATATATGCAAACATGATCAATAAGGCTATATTTTTCATTGACTAATCATAAATAAAAATATGAGACCTCTAAGTAGATTAGCTGCAAGTCGACTGGCAAAGGGAATTTTGTTACTCTTAGCAGTGTACCGGATTTTAGTACGAAGGTCATTCGTAATCATTGATTTTAATATGTCGTACACGTCCTTAGACACCGATTGTCCACCCTTCCTGGAAAGGAGCGCAACCTGTAAGGGCATCGGGTTATTATTATTATTTTAACTCATTTGTATTGCGCTAGAACATATACATACATATACATACCTCTTGGTTATAGTAGGTTTCATTTGCCAGTAACGTTTCAATATTCTCCAGCTCTTCCAGTGCTGATTTCTCAACGATTCCTCCTGAAATTCTATGTACATACACACAAAAGATTAGGATGTTTAATTTTTTTTAAAGTAATCAATGTTGCATTACTCCTGAACTCTATTAGTAGAGAGTCAATCCGTGGATCCAGTTCTAACTGAATGAGTTGAACTTGTGGAGTGTCGCTACTCACTTCTTCCGTTGTGGGGTTGCCGGCGACGGTGTCATTCACTATAAATATACACATGTTAAACAACTAGGGATAACCACAAAAGTATCAGATCGAGAATCAAATGTTGTTTTTAACTACATAATTTTGAACATAACTTTGTATATTTTAATTACCTTCGGAATATAAATTTGTCCCAGGGGCCACTAAGCTATTCACCTCAGGCTCTTCTGCAAATGCTTTAGGGCGACGCTTTCTTGGCTTGTCGTTGTCACTGGACTCGATGGGTTTATTCTTAATGTACTTTTTCAATTTTTTGGTGGCCTTGTCGTATGAATCTATAAATTAAATTAATCATGGTTGAATAAATAAGCCGAATATATCTTAAAGTAAAATTAGCTAACAATATAAAATTACCGTATGTTGCGACATATATTATGCCGCAAGTCGTCCAATCCTTTTCCGGGAGGGCATGCGGGTCGCTTTGGAAACTTGAAAACCCTTTTGGGATCGGATTAGGAAACTTGCACCGAGTTCTATCCTTTGAAATACAGGTCGACGGCACAATTTCCACCCCTTTGTCGACCTCAAACTCGAATAATACGAACTGCTTTAAATTGTCCGACATAGGATCGATCGTAAATGTAAAAATCTCTTCCGTTGGAAATTAAAAGTGGATAAGAAATTCTTGAGTTGATTTTACGGCGTGGCAAAAGCAATAACTGACTCGTGCTTCATTTATTTAATGGAAAATGGACAAATGATACTAATTTAGTACAAAAATATTGCAGATTAATTAATACGAATTTTGTGCGAATATTCTGGCACCTGTTTACTACATTTGGACTTGTACAACTTCCCGGGTATGAATTATGTATGAATTTAGTGCAAGGAAACTGATGAGAATTTAGTGCCACCAAATACGCACTAAATATTCACTTATTCCTTTGTACTAATTTTGTACCAATTAATTTGTGATAGTCTAGTGGATTTTATGTGCTAATTTATTGAAAGCACGCAAATTAATACAAATTTTGCACAAATCTTGTACAAAATAATTATTACATTTTTATATGCACAAAAATTGCATAGACTTGCATTAGGATTCGCAGTAAATTCGCATTGAGGTTACTTGGGAAGTGTCGATAAGTAATCCGGTAAATAATATTTCTAATGGTAACGGTTAATGTACATATGTATACTATTAAACTTTACGTTACCGACCCACAGTAAATTTGTTATCACGCTTGTAATAAAAATTTTATGTATTTGTATTAATTATTTATTTTTAATTCTTCATGTCATTAAGTTAGTGAAAAACAATTGAGAAGTTCATTTGAATTATATATTGCATACAACGTGAAAAAACGACACATGTTCATGAACTTATCGGGCATAAATAAATTGTTCAAAGAAATATAGATTTTTAAGATACGTGAACAGTAATCAGATAAATGTGCAACCCTACCGACAAAATATTCCTGCTTCTGTCCCAGTTCTTGCTTTAAATCCTTATCCATGAACCTGTTTATTTATAATCCGCTCCCCTTGAGCAGTACCAGAGATAGGTTTTGATTTATGCAAAAATTATGCAAAACCAACGGTGTCCCATTATCTATGAAATTCGAGCCAAACTTGATCTTCAGCCCGGTACAGGCCTTTAACTCCTTTCTCAGTTTCTCATCAATTTTGATCTCCAATTCACAAGTTCCAAGGAGGAGAGCACATGTCGCGAGAAGCCGTTAATTCGTGATGCCAGTGTTCCGATGAGAATATTGCTTATCATGGAAGAACCAACGAGCAAGGGATACACGAGAAATCCAGGCATTGGAATTTCATTATAAAATGAGATGCTTGCAAATAACGAGAAAATCTCGAGCACAGGGTTGCAAAGCATCATGGTGGGAATGATTCTTTCCGAAATGAAGACGTTAAATGATTTCTCCAAAATTTAAATGTAACGGTAAAGCTGGATGAAATCTGGATGGTCACAGTCACACAAATCCGACCGGGTTGTGATAAGTCTAAATTGCAATTAGAAAATAAGATCATCCGTTATTACTCCTTTTCCACAATGTTTTCTTCTTTCGGACAGCATTGCAAAGAAAATTGCAAAAATGGTGTACAAAAAAGCAAAATGTAGGCACCCCTAGCGGCTCACTTAACTAGAGAGATTGTCCGCTAGATGAATTTTATTCCTCATCCTCATGCAAGAAATTACGTAAAGAACAATATCTTGAAGCAGTTTCGTGCAAGTGAGTTTTTTTAACCAGGGTTTCATTTCTGATTGATTTGCAAAGTAAAAAACGCAAGAAATGGCTGGAAAGAAGTGCAAGATATATTTATTAAGTAGCTTCAGCTACTTTATGTGAAGACTTTGTCTGTCTGTCTGTCTGTCTGTCTGTCTGTCCGTCTGTCTGTCAGCAGGATAACGGGAGAACGGATAAAGATAATCGAAATCGCTTTTCGCCATCATACATAATACCCCAGGGGGAGGATCCTATCAACTTTTGGGTGCAACCGGACCACACCCACGGTCGCCAGGGGGTGTGGTCGGGGCAAAATGAGATTTTTAGTGCAATTGAATCTATGGATGAAATGGAGTGAAATTTTGAGTTCCCCCGTTGTGCCACACCCCCCGGGCGCCAGGGGGTGTGGTCGGGGCAAAATGAGATTTTTGAAAAAATTGAATGCATAGATGAAATACAGTAGAATAAAGTGCTCCCGAGTTGTGCCACACCCCCTTATCACTAGGGGGTGTGGTCGGGGCAAAATGAGATTTTTGAAAAAATTGAATGTATAGATGAAATACAGTAAAATCAAGTGTTCCCGCGATGTCGTGGGAGTGCTTGGAGTGAAGTAGTCTGAAGCTACTTCCGTATGCGCGTTTGCGACGGTTTATTTGTCATATTGCGACCATATGTATGAACCATCTGTGCCAACGAAAAGTAGTACATTGCCCCTTGCATTTCTTCAAGGGCAAAAATAATTAGATTAATATTTAGCATTTGGCAAGAAACCACTCTTTTACGGTCACTTGTACCGGAAGAAACTGATTTCAGGGCAACGCTGTGAAGTTCACCACACGGTCACGAATACGTTAACACACACTCTAAATAAAAATGAGTAAAATTTACTCAAGGTTCAGTAAAAAAAGGATGACACAACAAAAAGATAACATTTACCCAACCTTGTGCAAATTTTACACACCGTTGGGCAAATTTTTGAAATTTTACACAATTTTGGACAAATTTTGCACAACGTTTGGTAAATTTTACCTTTTGGTTGTGTCATTCTCTTTTTTACACAACCTTAAGTAAATTTGGCTCAATTTTATTTAGAGTGTACATATTTATATAGTTCACAGTTTGAACAATGTATGTATGTCCATATGTATATTAACCTAAAAAATATTTGAAACCGAATCTATCCATACATACCTTTCCATAACTCGGAGAAAGTTGAGGATGAAAATTATCCCAACGAAGAAAATATGCACTAACTGGGTCGATGCCGAATTGATGATGTGAAAGCACATCCAGGTTTCAAAAGCATGGACACCTAAGCCACCCAGATACCTGGCCCCGGTTGCTTCAGCACTCTCACAATCTGACAACATCGACATCATGAATGGTGGAGTGCTAGAGTTCTCAATGGTCCGGATTGGTCCGGATCAGCCCTGATCCGAAACCGGACCGAGGCCCGAAACGGTCAATCCGAAACCGGACCGAAAAATTTTCCCTCGGCCCAGAACCGGACCGGGACCGGACCAGGACCGGACCGGTCAATCCGGGCGGACCGAAAAACATATCGCTATAGTATAAAGACCCATAGTATAGTATAATAATTACACATTATAGTACTTATGTATAAGTAGTGCATTGAGATTTATATACATATTATTTATATATATACTCGGACATATTTATATACCTACTACTGCCATATATTCTGTCTCAAGCATTCCGCGCGCAAAAAACATCAGTAGCAGTTACGTTAGCCAGTTGTACTATTTTTTATTGAATTCCCCATGCAATTGTCTATCAGAAACCATCTTCCGAAATTTTTTGTGATACAAGGTGCTAAAATGACAGATCGGACAAATCGACGTGTTGCAATTTTTCAGAAACATTTTTGCAAACATAAAAATTCGGCATTTTTCAATAGATCATTAAAAATCGGAACTAATTGCAAGATGGTCGACCATACCATAAAATGATCCACTAACATTGGCAGTGTTGATAACCGAAAACCGAGTTGAAGGGAACGGTCAAAAAGCTCACAAAAAATCACGAAGGCGCACAAAACCTGAACTCGGCTGAATTCACGCCGGATCCTAAGAAAAATTTCCCTACAAATGAACGGTCCAAGTAAAACTACGTCCCTGGCCCCTAAGCTCGACCTTGGACTTATGTCTTTAAGATGAGAAAAGAAACACTTGCTAACTTCACGCCAAGTAAAAATAGTACCCTTGAAAGCCGGGCACTGATCATGCGGTACGCGCTTGAAAAATTGAAATAAGTATTTTTCAAAGATAAGTAAACTTTCACAATAAAGGCCATATAAAATTAGCAAAAGCACTTTGTCCACACCCCACCAGTCCATATTATTCATAAAATTTTTTAAAATATTAATCGGACCCACCATCCAGATTCTGTGATTTTTTTATTCGGCGTAGATTGGATTTGGTCAAAAAAGTGAATTGTCTTCCTCTGGGGGTGAAATTTCTTGTCAAAAAGCATTTTTTGAAGTTATCGAGCGAATGGAAGAACCACTGGACCACACTCTATTAAAAAATAGCTGCTAAGTATTCGAGCAGGGCTCAGGACCTGCTGATAAGGCCAAAATAGTAAAAATGGGGTAAAATTCCAAAATTTCTTACTCCATTTCGGATCAAGAATAAAATTCACTGTCGCCGAACCTCAACCTTCTGGAATACGATATGTGGTCCAAACTGAAGCTAGATACATGTGCTAAACACCACATAAGTTTGGAATCCGAGAAAAAATCTGTCGCTTAGAAATGAGACTAATATTCCTTGGAATGAGTGCGTACCGCGAGTGAGATGTGGATATCTGGACGTTGGGCTATTGTAGCTTCGAAAGGAGGAAATTTTGAAAAGTGCCCGGTATATTTTGTAGGGAATTTAATAGGCTTTCTCATGATGTCGTTCGTTTTTTAAAATTCACTAAACTGAGTCCGCTACATTAATTTGTTTAGTGGTCAAAACTTATAGCAGTAGTAGGTACATACATAAGTAAATGTCTTATATATGTAACTATACATGAGATATATATGGTTCATATATGCATGAATATATAACCAGAATGCCAAATGTTTCAGATTTAAATACATGTATCGAATGAGGTCTCATAAGTTTTATCGGCCAGTGCGGTTATACATATAATCTCAGGACAAATTTACATTTTCCTTTTCAACAATTAACAGGTCTTTTTTAATTTTTAAAATACATTAGAGAGAGTAGGAATTAAAGAAATCCTCCCAAAATCAAGGAGCGTAAAAACTTTAAAACCTTATAAACACAATTTTTATGGATCATGTGGAGAACTTTTGAAAACTACATAACGTAGAGTTTGAACACATTGAAAATTCATGAGTTGGGCAGAAAAAATTCAAACATTCGAGGTCAAAGCATTAAAATTTTCTTGCGCGCCAAAATATCCGGGCGGACCGAAAACCGGCGGTCCTTGAAAAGCTGATCCGAAACCGGACCGAGGACCGGACCGAAACTTTCGGTCCGGATTGGCGGATGGCCCAATCCGGGACCGAACCGTCGGATTTCGGTCCGGTCCGGGCCAACCCGAAGCCCATTGAGAACACTATGGAGTGCACTGCATTTCCCGCAATAAGACGAAAACCAGCATTGGAACTGTGAGGCACCCAATTTCGCAGAAGAGAACGAACAGCATGACCGCCTTCTTCTCCAGGGTGTCGGAAAGTTTGGGAAGATCTGTTATGACGATTAAAACAATTAAATACGTGGCAAATATTTTGTCTGTACTTTTAGAAATCTAGTACTAAGCATACCTGTTCACCTTCATTCGTTTGACTGATTATGATAGCGAATGAAAATATATTTCTTGTCATTTGAATGAAAATGACGAAAGGATTTTGTCGTTTCAGATGAATGACTGCGAATTAAAGGATTCACTCCGTCAATTTTTCACCGTAGGCTTAATACATTGGGCGAAGTAAGAACTGAACTTTTTCTTTTTCTTTAAAAAGTAGTGAAGTTAGATGAAGGGAAATGAAATGAGTTTGAAAGAAAATGAGTAAATATGAAGGAAAATCTTCGGTCAGAAATCGGGATGACTTTTTGAATGAAGCCTAGATTTTTGAACAGGATAGCAATTGATATTTACAAGAAGTACCTGGCTCACTATACCAGACTTCTAAAATTTCCACTTACCCGTCATAATTGCGTCTTCATAATTTAAAAACGTATTGAAGATTTGTCTCTGACCGAGCTCCAAGTTAAAATCCCATCGTACAATGGAAGCCGTCAGGTACGCTGCGAAGAAGGCGAAACCTTGCATTTTTTGCATATTCGTTAACGGTCCGAAGCATAGGTTGATCCCGAGCAATGTGCAATATGCGAGGGAAAGGATGCATTGCAGGCTAAATAGGAAGGTGTCACGGGGTGACTTACACTTGACGAATCGCCCAGATTTCGGATCAAAATCGAAGTACACGCATTTCAAGAATTTGTTAATTTTAAGACGAAATTGCAAACGGGGCAGAAAATCGGTTCGGTACATTTCAATAATTATTTTTGATAGAAATTTCTGGAGAAAGTTTGTTTAATTGATGGCGTAGTTATTGCGTGTTGATAAATACACAGCTTAATTGTTAGTGATAGATTATAACTACGTATTCATTACCAGAATGAGCCACTTCCGTTGAATATGTACATATATGTAGGTATATGTAAAAATGTAAATATGTGTACTATCCTCTTACTCAGGAGGGGAGCTTGCGAGGTTGATAATAACAGATCTTGGTGCCCTTTGGATATGTGGTAGGGACCCATGAGTGTACTAAAACCCTGAAGTAGTTTGACTCCATGGCCACATTTGCGCCCGCCACACCCACTCAAAAATGTCCAAAAAACGCTTTCACCCCAGTTTTCACTCACTCAAATCCACGCCAAAAATCCAATTTTACTCGGATTTTGAAATTTCTTTCACCATTATACTCCCAGATAGTTGCTTTCTTCAATCCAATATCAAACTCAATTTTTTCGAAATTTTTAGTATTTTTAAAATTTAAAATTCTGAATGAGCATTGTTGTAGTCATCAGCAAAACAAATTATGTTTGCGAAATAATCATCAATAAAATTGAGTTTGATATTGGATTGAAGAAAGCAACTATCTGGGAGTATAATGGTGAAAGAAATTTCAAAATCCGAGTAAAATTGGATTTTTGGCGTGGATTTGAGTGAGTGAAAACTGGGGTGAAAGCGTTTTTTGGACATTTTTGAGTGGGTGTGGCGGGCGCAAATGTGGCCATGGAGTCAAACTACTTCAGGGTTTTAGTACACTCATGGGTCCCTACCACATATCCAATGGGCACCAAGATCTGTTATTATCAACCTCGCAAGCTCCCCTCCTCAGGCGTGTCACCTCATTTGCATAAATCTCACTATACCCCCATTTTCGGAGATACGTGCTTTCCATGTTGAATAAACTTTATGTCTCTCGCGAATCCGTCAAAATTTGCAAATCAGATGACTTGCTATAAGAATTTGACAGTAAATACGTATTTTCATGAGTAGTCTATGTAATACAGAATAAGGTTGCAATCTCATCAAACTCACTCAGAATGGAGGTCTCCCAGCATACACCCTCAGATTTTGGCAAATTAGCGAAATTTGCAAAAAATGAAAATACTCTACTAAATTTTTCAACTTTTGGGCGAACTTTCTCCTCTTTGGATGCAAATTGCAAATATCTCCGGCAAACGTGAACATTGGGAGATCGTGTCTTTTGCGAGTTTCATATAAATTAAATTTGTGACTGGGCTTTGGCCAAAATTTAAAATTTAAAATTTGGCCAAAATCGAAGACCATGCGTTAAGAGACCTCCATTGTCAGTAAACGGAAACCCTTTTCATGTAATTATATATTCCTGTGGCAAATAAAGGATTATTTGACATTGATATTCGAACAAGTGTGTTTGCAAAGAATTGATCTTGTATACGTAAACTTCTGTAGAGTTATTGACATTTCAAAATTATTATATTTGTGTACTTAGGATTTGCTTGAAATCCTCGCAATAATTTGAATGTAGATCACACCGAAGCTTTGGTGAGCAGAACTTTGCAAAGTTCTGCTACGTAATTCCAACGGAACATGAGTATTACTTGTCAACACATATAAATACATTTATGCATCCATATACATACATATATACACAAGTAAATTGATTCCGGGTAGATCTGAATGTCCGTGATTCCTTCTGCAAAAACACTCGACCAAACAGGACACAATGGAGTAAAAACTGTTTACTCACATTTCCGGTTAAATTCTGAGCAGGATACATATAAATAAGTAAACAATCCCATTTAAAGCTGAAATTTGAATTAAGGAAAGTGTTTTATTAAATTTATTTACTACCCTTGTACATATTTAGATTTCTGCGGGTATGTATTTATGAGTCGCAACCGTAGGCTAGTGTACACACATTAGCATAAATATTTAATTTAATGTACCTAGATAGACGAGAGATATTAGGTAGGAGATTTACATATACATACATATAATTTTTTCACGCGTTATGTTCAACTTCTGCAATAATCTTTTCAATTTTGGGCCAATCGATGCCACAAAAGTCCGTAATATTTTTCTCCCTCAACCTCAAACTGAACGGATTTGCTAGAAATGCTGGAGGACCGATGGCACGCATCGTACTGAGATCCACGCCCTCTAACTTTTTCCCGCCGTAACGCTGGGTAAGCTGGGACGGGTCAATGTCGCGAGACAGCTCTTTTGCAAAAATGTGCTTCTGTGTACCATGGATTTCCAGTAATTTCGAAATACTGGAACTCAACAGGTTTTTGTACAAGTCCCAAATTGACAGGGAGAAATCTGGCGCTGTTAAATATATGCTTAATTACATATTAATTTGTATAACATAGGTGTCATCAATTGTTTACCATATAAAACGTGAATTTTGTGAGCAAATCCGCTGTAGTACGTTTGTGAGAAACTTAAAAGTTCCAAGTACATCGGGATACCTAAGGTTATCAAGAAACGTCATTACCACGTGTGACACCAAAAATGCTTACTTAATTCAAGCAGAGTGCATGCACTTTTTATGTAATCGTACAGCACTATTTTTAAGAGTGCAATAATTAATCTAATTACATCCTCCACAAACGTGCGTCACCAAATTGACCCCTTTGAGATCAAAGAGAATTGTAGCCTGAGTCATGTTAAATCCCTCTTCTTGCCCCCATCGCAAAAATCCGGTCCCTTCCTCCAGTATTTTTTTAACGTAGCGAACAAACCGTTTCGACTTTCCCGCGATGACGACCCTTCTCAAATCCCAGTCCCCAACCGGCAATGATATAACTGGCCAAAAGCACGGTATATAATTACCACGTGTTTAAATAAATGTATAAATTCCGCCGGATATCTGTAATACGAATCTCCTTACCGGGATTCCCGCCTTTGTCACACCCCTCCCAAATTACTCTGTATTCCGCATCATACTCTGGAAACTCTTCTTTCAACACGTTATCGATATTATTTCTTGTCCTCCAGTCAATGAACTTTAAAAGAAAGGCAATATTTTCAAATTGAGATTCATGATTTACATACATACATACATACACTAATAAATACACTCTTAGAAATACCTCGTTCAAAAAGTTTTACCATATCGGGATCAAATTAGTACCTTTTAATATAGTTTTAATACCAAGCGGTAGCAACTTTAATACCGAGTAATCATTACCTATCTGACTATACCAGTTTTCTAACAGTGTATGTACGTATAAAAAATAGTGCATTAGTGTTGACTTGCCAATTGGACAAATCATAAATTTCCGGATCGAATCCGGCCAGCTCGCAACTTTTTTCTCATTCTTGGTTCAATTGGGTTTTCAAAAACACGATGAGTTTTCCTCTCATCTTCCTCAAATCATAAATATTTACTAGTATACGTTTTTGGCGACATTCAAAAATTGTGTAATGCGAGAGGGGTCTAAGGCTCCAATGGTATCATGTTTCTGTGACACATGTTAAAGGGGAAGGGGGTGTAGAAAATCGAGATTTTTATAAAATTAAATAATTTATGAACGGCCCTTTATTTACATTCATAAGTCTGGCTTCGGCTGCATCCACATCAAAATCCGAATCTTTAGAAACCAAATTATATTTATTCACTTGTACTCATTAAAATGCATGCGAAAATTTATACAAAGTTTATTCCCTCACCTCGCAAAAATCGTAGCAGATAAACATCCTTTTTCATGTAGTCATGCACTAGTTTATTTTTCAGTCGGGACGAAAGCTTGACAACAATTGTAGTTAAATTAATGATTAAAATAAAACACAAATTAGAAAAAAAATCTAAATATTGTTTATGAATAAAAACCTACCGCATCCAAGCTCACTTTCTGCGATGCATTAACAGTTATGAATTCCTCGAAGGATAGCCCTTCAGAAATTCCGGAAATCTGAGAAATAAACAAACCAACTAAAATGAGATACATCTTTACTCCAAGAAACGGCTAAAATCACTGAAGTCATTTTAAACACCAAGCTTTACATAATATGTAAATCACTATAATATATCCAATTCTTAGTCAAAAATGCATGCAAAAGGTGAGACAGGTAGAAAAGAAGTCATGAAACGAGATCAAGCACAAGGATGATATGTACATACATACGATTGACAACTGCATATGTGGGGGACGCTCATAAATTATGTAGCAAAAACCGCTATTTTCTAGACATCCAGTGTTCAACCCCCCTTAACATGTGTCACATAGGCATGATACATATTATTGCAGCCTTAGTTCCCTTGACACGTTACATAATTTATGAACGGCCCCATCTGAGACGAACAAAGATGTATGTATGTAAACACATAATGGAGATCACCACGTTCCTCTCAAGGTTTACACAAATATAAGTGAATGGCAAATTGCAGTCGATTATCGAGATGCTGTTTATCGAAAGCAAGTTCCTTATGTAATTAAATACAATGTGAAGCACATACATGGGACCCTGCGGAAAGAACGCAGTCTAGGAAGAATGATATAGGTTAGGAAATAATGAATCATGTACATATGTATTTGACAATTTCACTTAAGGTCCCGTTGCATGCGGGATTTTGAATTTAAATTTTTGTCTCTACTTTACGTTCTTCCATGTTTGTACATGTGTATTCAAATGACAATTTTGAAACCTGTGCGTTTTTTAAATAAAGGTTTCATTCTATAGTTAGAGGTTAACCCTTTGATTATTTCCTTTCATAAGAAAATAAAAATAAAATAATAAAGTAATAAGTGGACATTAAACATATTCTCCATATGAAAAAAAACTAACGAATACAAGGAAGATGGTTAAGTTGAGACAGTCAAATTTCAATACAAAACCCGCATACGATGCCATAATAAGTAAGTAATTAATTCTTTATTTCAAACAAGGTGACTAATTTTTGACAAGGCTCTTCTCCAAGGTGGAATTTTGTATTTCAAAAAATTACCTATCATTAAATTACATAACATAAGAAGATTCCCATGATTTTCTCACCTGATCAAATTCCCCAATGCAATGTGTGAGAAGATAGGAAGACTCGACACTTTGCCAGATTCCCCGTATTCATGCAGGCGGCCCTCGACACAAAACACGAGGAAATCAGCAGCTGACAAATCAAAACAAATCTACTTATAGGCCGGTTTTAAAATTTAATTTTACTCCCTTGGCTTCCTCAATTTAAATTGAGTCAATTCCAATTCGAATAGATAATTTGTACGATATTTTCATCATTCAACACAATACTTGCGTAAATAAGAGTAATTTAAACGAATTTCAAGGCACAGTTCCATTTCACACTGAAGAAAAATATAAAATTGTAAAAACAGTTTGGCTTATTTTTACAAAGAAATTGTCGAAAGACGGCGTCTTTAGCAACTCTGGGACGGGACACATCTTGCAAGATAACCTTTCTTCCTCAACGGTCCTTCCCGAGAGGTCAAATTTTACCCCCCCCCCCTCCGCCTGATTACAACTTTCCCATCAAAATTGAGCCGAATAACTCATCCCCAGAGGAAATGTCGTCCTGTTCAATCTGTTCCGAATCGACAAATCTGAGCCCTCTCGCCCTCCAAGAAATGGAAATTCTGACCAAATTCGTCCTAAGCCAGGAGCAAATTGCTCTCATTTTACAAACTGAGAATCCTCCTCCAATACTTTGTTGCCAAATTTGCTCCTCCACGATCCTCTCCTTGGCCGAAACGCAAATCGAAAATATTGCCAGTTCTCTACGTGCCGTCATTTCCAGTAGGAACGGACTATTCAATAAAGTGCGAAATGAATCCAAAATCAGTGGTAATTAAATATTAAAAAATAATCTATTTGACTAATCATGATAAATTAAATTGTAAGTTAATTTGTATGCGCTTAACGCAGAACTTCCTCACCTAGTCGCGGCTGACAACGATTCTCCTGCCGACAAGATATCCAAGAATGACGATGACCAACACTTATCCGAATGCCTGGAAGAAGAAGGAGAAGAAATCATCGTAAAAGTCGAACCAACCTACTACTACGACGACGACGACGAGGTCATGTCTGATCCTCTCAACATGCCGCAAAATGACGACGACAACAACTCTCACCACGTTGCAAATTCCGGTGTCAAAATTCCACCAAACCTTGTGTGCACAATATGTCAACCCAACGTCACTTTTACCCGGTATGACGTCTTCATGAGCCGCCTGAGGAGCAATAAAATTCATCCCCACCTTTCCGAGGCTGATATTGCGGGTAAGTTTTATCCAGAGCTGGGTGATTATTGGTTTTTGAGGGTGGATTAAGGATTATGGATTAACCACAAAATAATGTGGATTGTGATTAAATTATTTTCGTCAGATTAATTCATGTCAGGATTAATCCGGATTAATCCATAAATTCTGAAAATTTCAGGATTATGGATTATGGATTAATCATCCGGATTAATTTGGTGATTAATGATTTTAGTAAAATCATTTTACACTACCTAAAGGTATATCTAGCGCAACAAATTTCAACTATGTGGTTTCACATAAAATTTTTAAAACGCTAGTTTCAAATTGAAACTTTCAATTTACTATCCCCGTACTTAGGCTTTGCACCTCATTTGCATAAATCTCAATAGCCCATTTTCGGCGATACGAGCTTTCCATGTTGAATAAACTCTATGGCTCTCGCGAATGCGTTAAAATATGCAAATGAGGTGCAAGGGCTGAGTGCGAGGATAGTATATATGTAGCACAAGGCAGCGAGAGCATGTTGACTCTTAAAATGGTAGCTGATAGGACAAAGTTGTCAGAACTTAAGACTTCAAGCTGCACAGTGGGATAAAATGGAACTGTGGGGATTGAACCGAGTAATCCAGATTGAGAATTAATCATGATTGGGATTAATCTGGATTAATAATCATGATTAGTAATCATGATTGGGATTAATCAGGATTAGTAATCCGTAATCACGATTACGGATTAATGACATATAATGGGATTATTCCCGGATTAATTCTAATTCCAGAAAAATCGGGATTATGGATTGGGATTAATCTACAAAAAACTCTCATTGCCGGATTAGGGATTATGGATTGATAATCCATAATCCGGGATTAAAATCCATAATCCTTAATCAGGATTATCCCAGCTCTGGTTTTATCAACAAAATGATGCAACTCAGGAATGGATAATTACAAAACAACATTAAAATTTAAATAAATCTTTATTAGCCTTGAAAAAATTTGTGTGCAAAGAATGTGGCGTCATGTTCACGCTCAATAAAGGTCTCTTGCGCCACATGAGGATTCATCCAGACATTTCCGCTGCTGAAATTTCCGGTGAGATTATAAATACAAATACATAAATACATACACTTTTAAAAATAGTGTTACCCTTTTGAAAAGTAAATTCACTCCGAATTTTATATGAAGTGGAGTATACTAAATTCGTAATCCGATCCGAGAAATTTTTACCAAGGGTCTTTCATGCATGCCGACCCTTTGTAAATGACGTAAATTTACGAATATTTTTTTTACAAATCTACAGTTACTTAAGTCATGAAAATGATCAATGCAGCCGTTTTGAAAAGTAAATGCATTAAGAGAACTATACCAAATCCAGAGTAAAGTTTACTCTTGATCAGATCAGGTTAGCATAGTTTCCTTAATATGGAATCCAGAGTGCATTAGTTTTCAAAAGGGTAACATTATTTTTCACAGTGCGTAATCCATAAAAACTTCAATTTAAATTTCTTTCCCCAGCAATGAGAATGAGGAACAGACCAATAAATTCCAAGTTCGGCGTAGGAGCTCCGTCAAAATATGTGTGCAAAATATGCCAACCTAGCGTCACATTTCACAGGTCGGACACCTACAAGCGCCACATGAGGAACAAGAATATTCATCCCAACCTTTCCGAGGAAGATATTTCCGGTGGATTATACAATTCATAAGTCAACACCGCCGCGCTCCCACTAAACAAAGCAGGAAGTCGTTAAACAACCCAGGGATGAAATTCGGGCCGAATTTGAAACTATGAGCGTTTCCGAGAATTAAAAAAAAATTTACCAGACAAAATAACTTTATCTAGTAAAAACAATGATTTTTTTCTGGTTTTGATTATAAAATGAGACTTATGTACATAGATAATTACAATGAGATTCGTGTAAAATAAACCCTTACAAACCAAATGTACCAAAGTGGTGAAAACACACAGAATTGCCTTTATCACACGCCAACAACGTCTTTTAGCACTTTCCCGTTATTGTCTCACAGCACCCCACATCTAATTTTGCTCCGTTTTGACTAGGGAATTCAATACCGGACCCTTTTCTGAAAACCGGTTTTCGGTTTTTCCGGTTTTCCACCCTCCAAAACCGGTTTTTCACCGTTTTCCCGAAATAATATTTTGTGCACTAGATGGGGAGAAAAATTAAGTATGTGGGTATCGTAGGTTTAAAAGCCTGACCTTATGCCAATGGCCTAACGGAAAGATTCACGACAAACGTCAAACTAATTAAAAAATATATCTTCTCTAATTCTTTGAGGAAATAAATATGCAACTTAGGAATAGATTATCTGTTAATTATCTGTAGTAATATGAAGATGCTAATTAATTGTAAATATGTAACCGAAGCCTAGTTGTATTCTAAAAATTATAGAAAAGCATTATCTACTTCGATATGTCATCCAGAAGAAAATACTACATTCGTAGGAAATTAGATAAAAAAGAGACTAGTGTGTCATCTTTAAGATTTTATCCATTTGCAAGGTTGCCCATTTTTCGCGAATGCTTGCACGAACAACCTTACTGTAACATTTGAACTAGATTTTGACCGGAGAAATTTGTGTCTATTCCTGGACAAAATAAGCATTTTTTTAAATGCATAAGTTATACGTACACATGTATGACTTTTCAAAATACGCATTCATACAATTTTCAGGCAAAACTTAAAGCTGTTAAAATGATATAACTTCAGGTTTTTGCACGTGTTTCTAGGTTAGAACCACGTTCGAAGTTTATTTGAAAATATAATTTATGTAAATAGAAATTTGCAGTTCCGAGTATTAATTTATGAATGAAATACGGAATCGCCTAAAGGGTTTAAAACGCCATTATCGCAGTTGGATACGAACCCACGACTACCTACTAATAATTTATGTAGTCTTTCAAATTCATTGCTATTAATGTTGTTGATTGTTTTTGCAACTTTTTAAATTGTGTTATTCCAAACAACTAGCAAAATTCTGTTAAAAATTATCAAATAGTTTTTCAAAATAATTGCAGGCCTTAATTTTAAGCTTGAATGTTATCAATTTTGTTTAAATAGCGTCAAAATTCGAAAAATAATAGCGTTTAAAAATTTAAAATTTTGACGAAAAACCGGTTTTTAGAATTACCAAAACCGGTTTCCGGTTTCACCGAAAACCGGTTTTTCTCCGGTTTTTCCGGTTTTGAAAAACCGGTGTTGAATCTCCTAGTTTTGACACCCCACACGCTTACTTCGAACGTACGCGACCATACCTTTTCAATAGACACCCCACATGACAAAAGTTATTTTTCGACATTCGACACCGTCCACACGGTCATGAGGTCGTCGAAACTCGAAATGATGTCCATTTTTGAAATCCCCGCCCAAAACTACCTCTAAAATAATCAATACAAAAAATGCAGCTCGCTTTGCGTATCCTTACTTGCCGAACCTTAAACTAAAAAAAGAGAGGACGAAGGCACGAAAGTGATGGAATATTTTCACCCATAAAATATGGATACTATTTTTACTCATTAGAAAAATACAGGAATTTAGAAAGCAGTAGGGGTTAATCAAGAAAGGTCTGTAAAAATTACATCTATCCTCGTTGAAGCTGCCTTTTCCATTTTGTGTTAATTGCCAAAAGGGCCTTCTCCCAAAACGAAATTTTTGAAGAGAGCATAAAAATAGGTATATGAAGTACATCATTACAACTCATATGAATGAAAGTGAACAGGTAAGATTCATGTAAGAACTTTGTAATTAATTTTACAATTTTTTTGAACCGTCAACTAAAAGTATGCAAGTATCTATTTGGATCTCAATAAACAAAGAAACCCAATTTTCCATTTTATTACATCAATTTACATACAATTTGGTTTTTATCAAAGTACAATATTATTTTTTATATGTAGTTCAACGTATGTAATAGCAACACGGCTAAGAATATTCCTAGCCGTGTTGCATTTGTTATTTAACAAATGCACACATGGGTACTCCAACCAACGGTGATATTGCAGCCAGAGAATGTTACGCATGCGTCGTCAAAATTAGAACGGCGCGGATAAATACACTCCGCCACGATTGCCGCCGGAGTATCCACACAAAAGTCCACGCCACCGTTGCTATCTCTGCAAGCTTCTTCCATCGTTGGGCAGAAATCTGGTTGAAATCGTCGCATTAGAAATTTATATTTATGTACATAACATAACATTTTATTTTAAAATGTGCCTTAAATTTACCTGCTTTTTGACCCTGAGCGTCTAACTTGGCCTCCGTTTCTTCTGTTAATTTTGCACCCTGCGCAGTCATTCCAATCAGGACAAGAAGGAAAATCATCTTCATGGTGGACGGGATGTTTAATTTTCTAGATAAAAATTGGATTTGAAAAATTGTAAATTTTGTGCTTTTTTTATTTTCTTCGTAAGCAAAGTTCTTGCCATGTAAGTTAGTAATCATGGTTTTGAAATTGTGATATGGCCCAACGTTAATAATATTTGTCTCATTAGTTAAGAAATTTAAATACCTGTATAAAAAAATACGCAGCTCACTTTGAGTATCCTTCCTGGTCGAACGTTTAACTGATAAAGAGGGACGAAGGCACTGTAACTTTATAGAATTTTTTCACCCATAAAATATACTATTTTTATACGTTAACAAATGTGAGGATTGCTATAAAATAAACTGATGTTAAATAATAGGATAATTCGGCTTCTCGGCTAATATAATTCTTGGACGTCGTGCCTGGACGCCTTTTTTTGACGTCGACGTGCTCGCCCCGAAGCTCTTTTGGGTTCATGGAAAGTTGAAAACGAGGAGTAGATAAACTCAATTTACTCTGTGCTTTTTCGCCTTGAAAATCTAAATTGCCCTCTGTTTTTTCGGGTATTTGGCACCTTGCGCGGCCGCGGCCATTCCGATCAGTGCGAGAACGAAAACGGGTGCAATCTTCATGGTGGACGGGATGTTTAAATTTTCTAGATAACAAAAATGGTTTCAAACTTGTGAATTTTAATTTTGTATTTTCCTAGTACACAAATGTCTTGCCATCTACATGCATAGATGCATGTAGATGGCAAGACATTACTTTAATATGTACATATATGTACATATTAAAGTAATACGGCTTTGAAATTTTTAAATACAAATTTCAAGGCTACTAAATACCTGAGTATGTACGGAATATTCAGCTACTTTGCGTATCCTCCTTACTGACCGAACCTTAGATTATAAGAGAGGCACGAATGCAGTAAAGTTATGGAATATATTAACCCATAAAAATATGTATGCATGCTATTTTTACACTTTGGTAAAATATGTACCGGGGATTAAGAGAGTAGCAGCTGTCAATCAAGAAAGGTCTGTAAAAATTAAACATGTGCATATAAAGTAACTTCTCAAAGTCTTTTAAACTTGTCCATTCTTTGAAACTCATCCGTCCCTCAGTTCATTCTTCGTCATGCGGTTAAAGCGAGGTGCATACCTGTGAAGGGTCCGATGCTACATATTTACTTATCTTCGTGTAAGCTCACGTTGTTGTAGACCCTGAAGGCTAAAATGTGCCCCTTTTATCCCGAGTATTCATAAATAGCTCGTCACATGCAAAAATTCCATACATAAATTCATTTTAATAAATATTAGGTCGGCATGCAACCTCGGCCATCACGTGCTCGTATCCTTCCCACACTGTTAGTATGGTAGGGATACGAACGCGGGAATCAAATTTTGGTCGAAGTTGAATGCTGACTATCAGAACCAAGAATTGTGCAGTGGTGTGTGTGTGTGTGTGTGTGTGGTATGTGGAACTTGGCGCTTGACTACACACGTGTCTCACATTGTCCAAGGTAACGTCACCTATCGGCCGTTTGGGCACAATGTTGCATTTTTCGTTTCTAGAGGGCGTTTTTCGCTAAAGTATCAAAACGTTCCAAAAACGTTGACGAACACGAGAACAACGAAACACACCCTTTAGGTCTGCCGAGACTTGATCACATGAACGGCCTCACCCCCAGACTTAACATTTGACTTGTGACCTGAGCACACCCACTACATTTGACCTGTGACCTGGGCACACCCACTAGCCTTGATATTTGACCTGTGACCTGGGCACACCCACTAGACTTGACATTTGACCCGTGACCTGGGCACACGCACTAGACTTGACATTTGACCTGTGACCTGGGCACACCCACTACATTTGACCCGTAACCTGGGCACACCCATTACATTTGACCTGTAACCTGGGCACACCCACTAGACTTGACATTTGACCTGTGACCTGGGCACACCCACTACGTTTGACCTGTGACCTGGGCACACCCACTACGTTTGACCTGTGACCTGGCCACACCCACCAGACTTGACATTTGACCTGTGACCTAAGCACACCCACTACATTTGACCTGTAACCTGGGCACATCCACTAGACTTGACATTTGACCTGTGACCTGGGCACACACCCCCTGGACTTGACACTTGACCTTTGCACACCCCTGAACGTTTTTCGTGGTCACACCCTTCACAGTCATTACTGAAGGTTTTTCGTGGTCACACCCTTTGGAGTCGCGACTGAACGTTTTTCGTTGCCACATCCTTCAGAGTCATGACGGAAGGTTTTTCGTTGTCACACCCTTCAAAGTCATGACGGAAGGTTTTTCGTGGTCACACCCTTTACAGTCATGACGGAAGGTTTTTCGTGGTCACACCCTTCAGAGTCGTAACTGAACGTTTTTCGTGGTCACACCCTTTCAGTCGTCACTGGACGTTTTTCATGGTCACACCCTTTAGAGTCGTGACTGAACGTTTTTTGTTGTCACATCCTTTAGAGTCGCGACAGAACGTTTTTCGTTGTTACACCCTTTAGAATCGTGACTGAACGTTTTTCGTTGTCACACAAGTTAGAATCGTAGCGTGACGAACTCTATTATTAAACGTCGTGCTATACAACGTGACAATCAGGGCGACGCTCCCTTGCTCTGAATCAATGTAAATGTATAACAATTATTCAGCAGACATTTGCATCGCTGACTAAATAAAATCGTTTTGCCTAGAGCCCGCGTTGCGGGCTTAAGAGACTAGTCATAACAAGAATTGTGCAAAGTTGTGTTACCTTTTGAACCAAGCGCTTCACTCGATGGCTGTATCACCTTACCCCCATAGTTCTCTAAGTTACCACCCAGCGCCACCTATCAACATTTTTATGTACTAGGTTGTATTTTCTCTGCTAGAGGGCGCTTTTCCCCGAAAGTGTCCAAACGTTTCAAAAACGTTGAATAGCACCAGAACAACAGGATACGTCACCAATAGAAAAATTTGTATACACCAAGCTTTAATCCGTGACCTGGGAACTACCCCTTTAGTCGGCAGTTGACCCGTTACGTGTGCACACTCCCTATGGTCAGCAATAGACCCGTAACGTGTGCACACTCCCTATAGCAGGCAATAGACCCGTAACGTGTGCACACTCCCTATGGTCAGCAATAGACCCGTAACGTGTGCACACTCCTTATAGTCGGCAGTTCACCCATAAGGTGTGCACACTCCCTATAGTCGGCACTAGACTCGGAACCTGTGCGGCACGCCCATTAAATTTATGACGTGTGACCTAGGCGCATATAAATGTTGCTAAACCTGTGACGTAGACAAATGACTTATAGTACTCACATAACTTGGAACACACGCTAAAGTCATAAGGTGACCTCGACACACCCCTTAGGAGGGGAGCTTTACCACCTACCCTTCACAGATCTCGATGCCCTTTGTATATGTGGTAGGGTCCTATGAGTGTACTAAAACCCTGAAGTGGTTTGACTCCATGGCCACATTTGCGCCCGCCACACCCACTCAAAGGGATGAAAACCACAAAGCTACCAACTTCAAAAATCCACCAAAAATCCAATTTTGCTCGGATTTTTATAAAATTTACATTTTTGTGATCCCAGATACTTGTGTGATCATATTCGCAACTCAGCAATCTCAACTTTTTTGAAATTTTGAATTTTTTCGAGTAATTCATGAGCTCGAAAATTTCGAAAATTTCAAAAAAGTTGAGATATCTAGTGGACATGATCACACAAGTATCTGGGATCACAAAAATGCAAATTTGATCAAAATCCGAGCAAAATTGAATTTTTGGTGGATTTTTGAAGTTGGTAGCTTTGTGGTTTTCATCCCTTTGAGTGGGTGTGGCGGGCGCAAATGTGGCCATGGAGTCAAACCACTTCAGGGTTTTAGTACACTCATAGGACCCTACCCCATATCCAAAGGGCATCGAGATCTGTGAAGGGCAGGTGGTGAAGTTCTCCTCCTTAGAGTCGTCAATTGGTCTCTTACAGTAACAATTTGTTCCGGGTTATTGTTATGTTACTCATAAGTTCTTTAAGTAGACAAATTTAGTTAATGCCTTGTAATTTTTGAAAAATGGTACATCATGCTAAAGGTCCACGTTCTATTTGCTTTGTGTGAATGTCATTCAGCAAATGCTTAGTTATGAATTAAAATCCTCTCTATGCTGGAGCCCGCATCGCGGGCTTTGGAGACTAGTAAATTAAAGTCTATAATACATGGTTTAACCATGTATGTATTTACCACCATTTTTTACCATAACGTGGTTTATGGTAGAGTTGCCACTTCAACTCGGCTTGACTCAGCTTATTGAGTGAGTCGAGTCAAGCTGAGTCGAGTTGACCTCAAGTAAGCCGTCGACTCAATGAATCGGCTTATTGAGTTGTGAGTGAGTTGATGCGGCATTGACTTGTTATAACCACAAAGCCACATTCGCCAAAATTATCTTACATATATATTTGCATATGCTTTGTAAAATTCAAAGCCATCTGGCGATATTGAGAAAGTTGGCCGAGCTTGAGCTATTGGAATTGAGAAAATTCGGTATACCCTGGAATTGGAGAGCTACTTATTTATTTATAAAATGAAAGGTATAATATTTCATACCTTATATAAAAGTAAATATGTTGATTATATTAGCAGGAAAAACTCTCGTTCGTTGTATTTTGCTTTTTCGTATTAATTGAGTTAGTAAACTAAATCGATTCCTTGATATGTTACATATGTATATGTGTAAGTGTAGCGCATTTTTATGTATTTGGGGTGCTAATGATTTTAGTGGTTTTGTAAAAAAGGGAATCGAAAAATCGGAAATTGTACATTTACGTTTCCACATATTATGCAAACTGAAATTTATTGATGCTTGATTTTAGATAGCTGGTAGGAATTACATACGTGATTATTTCTTCAAATTTTTTTTAAATAAAAGACACCTTGGGTTACACAGTTGCACCGGAGATTTTTGTAAATGGCATTTTCCTTTCGGAATATTACCATAATCAAAATTCAAAACTAATACTAGATAATGCAATAAAATATCAAAGAATCGATTTAGTTTAATAAGATAATTCGTACTGTATAAGGTAAATAAGACGAGAGGAGTTTTGCCTGCATAATCAACATATCCACTTTTGTGAATTAGTTTTAAATATTTGTTTCAAATATAGCTTTCCAACTTTCGGGTCTATCGATTGTACTCAGATCCCAATAGCTCATCCATTCTATGAGGCTAACCTAAATTGTTCTCCAAAAAAAAAATGAGATCGATTTGGATTTCAAAAAGTTTATGCAGGTATGGAAAGTATTTTGGGCGGCTATGGCCTTGTTCCTATGACTGGAACCCAAGCGCAGAGAAATTTGAGTGTAGGGAGGACTCAAGAAATTTCAGGAAATATCCTATGCTATATTGCATCCTGCTTTGGACCCTCTTCGTCGTTGAACTTCCATCATTCTTCATTATTGGGGACTTCAAGCGCTTCCTGTGGGAAGAACAGGATGAACTGGTCAGCTTTATATCTCTCCTATTCATGGTATTCTATTTCTCAATGGGATTAATTGGTGACTTGACCTGCATACTTCATGGAAACGATGCAATAACTGGACTAAACAAAGCTGAGGAGTTGTTGGAAAATCTCAAAAATTCTAAAGGTATCCATCCAACTACTTGATTTAGCTTTAATTGTTACTCTAACGATACGATTAATTGCTTTATCTAGACACGAAGTTTGTTCCTAACCCTGGAAAGTTCATTGGAAATGGACTTTATTTTATAGTTAGAGTTTTCGAAATACACGGCCTGCTCTCCATTCTAGCCTACACATTACTTGGGATCGATCCTCTTCGAACAATCCTGAAATTTTATTTTAACTTTGAAAATACAAATTTTGCAATCTCTCTTGTTGGATTTATTATCCAAGAACTGGCTTTTATCCAAGCGTGTCGCGTAAGCACGTTCTCACTAATTGCTTGTGGGGTAACGGGTTACTATTATAACCAAATACTTAGGATTAGCTACATAGAATTACAAACTGAAAGGAATAATAAGGAAGTTTTATTTGACCTAAAATTTGCTCACACCTCCATCATCTACTAGTGCCTCCAAATAATGTTCCAGCTTTGCGAGGACACTGCAGCCATCGGGATGTTTACCATGATGTGGGCGACTGCGATGCTCATTGTTGTCTGTAACTATGTAATTAAGTTGCGGACATTTATCCCAGCCCACATCTATTTTTTCTTTCCACTTATTTCCCTTTGTTGTTGTCTACTTGGCTTACTGCCAGTGCCGCGACAAGCCAATGAGGGGCCTGGATTTTTTGAAGAATTGTACGGCCTTTTTTTAAACCATTAAAATTTTATATCAGTCCGGTCAAAATCAGGGTTTTTGACTGGTAGAAACTCAAATCACCAGGAAATGGGAAGAAGTACATACATTTTTCCCATTGCCCTTGTTCAAAACTTAATTAAAATCGCTAGATAAATGACCAAGAAATTGACTTATGTATGTTATTAACTTGGGGTAATAGAGAAAAGATTTAAGGTGATTATCTCCTATTTCGACCGGACTAATTTTTATTGTTGAAGCATCAAAATAAACGGACCAAAATTTTTGTGTTTTGTAGAATGCATTTTCGATTGTGGCGGAATTATTAAATTTATTAAATACACTTTTCGAATTTTAATACGATTTCAAAAATTAAGCTCAATTCTTGCTCAGAATTTCTCCCCTGTAATTATTAAAATTCATTTTTTTAAACTTTTAACATCTGAAATTTTCATGCTACATCAAAAATGTATCATCAAAAATGCAAAAAACATTAAGCAGAAAATTAAAACTATTTTAACATGATTAGAAAAGTTAGAGCGTCTTGAAAAACCCTGATTTTGGCCGAAATTTTATTTTTAAACTCAGCCACAAGCGAAAACTTGTATTCTGGAGACCGCAGAAATGTAGTTCCTCTTATTTATTTCTGAGCGTGGACAATTTAAAATTAGTCAGATCAAAACCCGCTTGTTTCGCTGCTAGGAATTTGCTTCACTAAAAATATACCGGCCGGAGTTTGACATTTTGAACACCTTTAAAAATTAAAGTTTCTAAAAATTGAAGTTCATACTTGATGTCTGCATAAGATTGAGTTCCTAAGTTCGGGAACATATGAAAGTTATGTAGTAATATGCTCAGTTCGAGAAATTGTTGAAATTCATTTAATATGCATGAGTAATAGAATGGTATAAACACGCTGAAAGGAAGATTGAACTGGGTGGAATTCGCCAAGATACAAATTTGAAGTACGAAAATATGGCCTTAATAAATAAGGATTAAATACATACATGGGCCTAAACAGTGATGGGAAGCCTCGGGCTCTTTGCGCTCTTTGATCAGTTTTTGTGACCTTATGCCTCGGCCTTTTTAAAGATTTTGAGGTCGAGGCCGTGTGAGGTCCTTGGCCTCACTTTTAAATGGAGAGGCCGATCTCGCTGAGGCCTGTAGCTTAGGCTTAAATTATGAGGTCAGTGACCTCACAATGCCTGCTACACGGCTGCCACCTTCCCAGTTTCAACGGAGTTGGAAGATGTTCTTTTCCTCCGCTCGAGATTTAGCTGAATTTTGTTGTGAATATCCTACGGTCGCCTCAGCAAGAAAAAACTTTTTTTCGCGGCGGTCTTGATAAATAACATTTCTAGAATTTTTTTTTTGTCGCAGATTTCAATGAACATGATTTTTTAGACTAATTAAACTATGCTAAAAAAGAATCCGGAGGATTTTTTATTAAAAAACTGTTCATGAAATAATTATTATTCCAATTTTCTGAAATTTCTGGAAATTTTATTTTTCGAAACCGCCACAAAAAAAGTTTTTTCTTGCTCAAGGGACTATAAGTTACTCACAAAAACAAATTTCAGCTAAATCTGAGTTAGTCCACTAAACTGGCAAGTGTTATTTAAATTGTCTTGTCGTAAAAGTGAGAATAATAAAACTTGGCCGAGTGCAAAAAAACTCTGCAGAGTTCGAGCTCACCAAAAAAATACGCAGAGTGCGCCGAGTACCGAGTGGAAACGAGTACTCGTTGTAACACTACCGAATACATTTCGAGTTCAAATCAAGTTCGAGTACTCGGGCAAACTTGGTGCCGAGTACTCGAAATCGAACGAGTTCGAGCACTCGGGATGAATTCCTGCCATCATCACGTAACATTGTGTACTGTTGACTTTGATTTTACTTTTACTTCCCGCCTGCAATTCTTGCAATCATGTGATGGTCGTGCAGACCTGACATCTTGTGTTTTCATCCAACCATTTTTAGGTCGTAAAATGGTTCCAAAATTATTTGCACATATTATCATAAATTTTAGTGTGCAAATTCTTGATGCTTGTAAAAATAGGGTTCTACCATGCTGGATGCTACATGTCTGGTCTGCATAAGACCATTCACGTGACTACAAGCATTGCAGGCGGGAAGTAAAAGTAAAAACAAAGCCAACAGTAAGCAAGGAAATGTCGAATGGATGCAGAATTTTTTGTAATTTATCTGGACAAGAGAAACTTGCAGTGCAACTGATATTATGTTTCATTTTGCAATTCTGCATTTAGCAAAAAGACTTATGTATGTATGTACATATTTAGCAAATAATAAGCCTTTTTCATGAAACTTGTATCTAGAAATGTATGCACATTGCATGGGGCGACTAAATTAATTAGAAAAATTATCTTGAGGATTTTTGTCGTGATATTTTTTTGCATATTCATAACCTCAGTCTTCAAATAGTTATATATTCTATATAATAGTTATATATTCTATTTTATATGTTCCACAAAATTTTAATGAGTTGCCTAACATTTAGATATAAATTTCAGGTTCATTTTAGTCAGGTTCATATGCTGGAAAGCTCGATACTCTTTTAGGCATATGTACATACATACATAAATAAATCACAAATTCATTTCAACCTTTTTCGTCAATCGGACTTATTACGTACATATATATGTGCATTTCTTATGAGATTTGTACCAACCAGTTTAGAAAGTTTAAAAATGGTCCTCTTATTCACTATGAACGTACCACCAAGAAACTTGGCTAAAAATAAATACATAAACACGAATCCAATCTTACAATTAGTCAAGTCTCTCTTCACCAGTTCGTCCACGACAACGCACATACATCGCTCATAAAATTTTGGAAATTTTTCAACCCACTTTAATCACAACGCCTCCATTAAATTACTTAAGTTGTTCGCATACATATTTATTTCTTCTCAAGAAGTCAAGCAACATCATGGCTTACGGGGGATCCGCATACGCCACCCGGGTTTTGCATCAGTATGTAAGTGAACAAATTCTTTATTACACTCTTAGAAATCCAGTATTAAAATAACACCAAACGGTATTGATGCATGACTCTACCAAAGTGGTATTGATTAGTAATACGGTATATGTACAAATATATACTAATATGTATTCAGCTCGGTATTAAGGTTTTACCGCATCCGTACCAAATTTTTACGGACCGGGATACCTAATTTTAGTACCAAGCGGGTAGCAACTTTAATACCAAGAAATCAATAAATATGTACAGTACCTGCCTGACTATTCCAGATTTCCAAGAATCGCTTGTTCTAATTGATAATTTATTTCTGCCTTACAGAAATCCACATTTGATCGTGAAACTCGTCTGGAAAACGCGGACCGTTACTCAGCCCAAGAATTGTATAACTTTTCTCATACCGGACGCGGGACTGATTTCGTCTTCATCCTTAATGGCGAATTAAATTCCAAGAAAGGCTGGGTTTACGTGAAACAATCCGTCGTCGCAGCAAAGTCGGAGATTCTGGGAAAAATTATGATACTACGAAGAGCCCGGAACATTAACGGACGGGAGATCGAGGAGGACTATTACGCCATGTTGGATGCCACGACTGGGTTCCGGGAGCTGGATATTGTCCAGTTTAAGAGGATGATTGAGGTGAGATTAATAAAATACTGCAGCAATTTGAAAAGAAAAGAGGGTACAAATTTGTGTAAATTTTTACTCAGATAAAGAGCATCGTTCGTAAAAGTTTGCAAAATTATTTAACAAAATTTACGAATTTTATATACAAACTTATCAAGAACTGTCTAAACTACCGCATTCCCCTTTCTTAATTTGGATGCTGTGATAAATATTATGAAATTTGTAGACCTCTGAAATGTTTTATTTTTATTTTTCAGTACTTATACACCAAAAATGTTGAAAGCCTCCGGTACGACGCTAGCCCCGAAGAGCTTCGTAAACTTTCCGCAATGGGGAGTTTATTTTGCGTATATGAACTCCTGGTATTTTGCCAATTAAAATTGCCGAACAAGCAAATCGACAGAGTCAAACCGGAAGTTGAGGTGATCCATTAATTTTACATAAGTATTTAAATATTTATTGCCCTAAATTTGGTAATAAACATTACAAATTTTGTGACAAGGTTGCCAATGCAAAAAACTCTGGTAACAACGGCCCCACCTACAGCGCGGGTATTATCCGGGCCCCCGATTCCGGAAGAAGTTGGACTTGAAGACGAAATTGAAGCAGGAAATTCTTGCCCAAGTCAAACAGGAAGTCGTCGAGCAACTCAGGGATGAAATGCTAGCCGAAATTCGGTCTGACTTTCAAACTGCTTCCGAGAATTAACAAGATTTTGTACCAGATAAATACGAATGTGATAATGATTTTTTTTTGGTTTTGATTAAAATTGAATTGTAAAAAGATATGTAAATACATAAATGTGAAATAAAATAACGACATCAAGATCATTCTTCAATTAATGGATTAATTCAAAAATTCAATCTCCACACGACTTTTAAGCAGAATGTGCCATCATATTTATGTATGTACATACATACTGCTAAATATCTCGTAAAGTCACATTTCACATACTCATCCGTGCTGGTACTGATTTGGTAATAACTTCCTACCGAATTGGTAGTAATTTGTTCCTGAGTGGTAAGTTTTTAATTACTACAACATTACTGCACGGTAATTCCCGTTATTACCGTGCCGCTAGAGTAGCATATGTACTCCTGTCAGTAATGATTTAATACCAGTTGTGTAGGAGTTCCCCACCAGTTGGGCGACTACAATAAAGGTCTCCCAGATTATGCTCCTTGATTTATTAAAATTATTACATATGTATTAGCATAATGGTGCAAACCGATTTAGATTATCTTATCTCGAGTTCGAGAATGTTTCGCGAATCATGCTGACAGACATACGGACAGAGATTCAGACAAATTTGATTGAGTGAATTAACGTTTGTCCGACATAGTGGTACATTTTATTACGCATAAATGTGTATACAATTTTTACCAAAAAAAACTCAACATTATTTTGTAATGTTCAACATCTAAACAACTCGACTACTGAGGGCAAGAACATGTATGCGTATTAGCATCAAGGGTAACACTGCAGCCAGGAAATGTTTCGCACACCCCGTCAAAAGCGTAGGTTTCCGGATTTTCGCAATCCGCCGTGCGCCCCGAAGTTTCCAAAGAGGAGACGAAGTGTCCCCCGCTGTCATTGCAGCTGGCCTCCATCGTGGAGCAGAAACCTGTGCGAAATCCTCCCGCTATAAATTTTAGCTATAATTCTGATATTTTGTTCTCAATTTACCGTCCTTTTGACCCTGAACATCTGAATTAGTTTTTGATAATTTTGCACCTTGCGCGACCATCCCGATCAAGACGAGAACGAGAACGAATGCAATCTTCATGGTGGACGGGATGTTTAAATTTCTGGGGAAAAAGTAATTTAAAAAATTGTTTATTTTTTATTTTTTATTTTCTTAGTACGTAAATTTCTCGGTATGGAATGCAAATATTGTTTGGTTTTTAAATTATCACCTCACCTGATTTCTACAGACTCGTTATGTTGCAAATAAAACATTCGTGTAAATAACTTAAAAATTTTAGTGTCTTTAGTACCTGAAGAAATATGACTCTCTTTGGACCTCAGACTAACTGGGAGTGACGAACAAAATAAAGTTATACATATATTAACCTTTTCAGCTAGCAGAAAAATACTATTTTTACATTTACCAAGCAGGGAAGAAGAACTCGGTACGTCTCAGTCAAAAGAGGCCCTGTAAAACTTAGTGGCTCGAAACCCAACAAACCGTATATTTTTGGAAAGCTACGGACTTCGTGAGTCCGAATATACATCATAATAGGGTCTAAGGTCAACCCTTGACCTTTCGAGGTCAAGCAATAACCCTACGAGGTCAAGCAATCCTATCAGAAATGTCTTTGCATACTTCTCTTGGGGCAAGGTGAAATTTTTGGGGAGAAGTAACCAAAGTACATTTCTGATAGGATTGCTTGACCTCGTAGGGTCAAGGGTTGACCTCGTAAGGTCAAGGGTTGACCTCGTAAGGTCAAGGGTTGACCTTAGACCCTATTATGATGTATATTCGGACTCACGAAGTCCGTAGCTTTCCAAAAATATACGGTTTGTGGGGTTTCGAGCGAAAAAATGCACTGACTTTTGACCTCTATTTCCGGTCGAACCAGGTCACTTAGGGCTTAGGGACCAATACATTTTTTGTTCAGCACGTCGAGATGTACAACATATCAAAAATTTGGGCAAATATCACGGCGGGGCATTTCACATAAGGAGAGTGCCTCCTCCTTTATAGAATTTTTTTACCCATGAAAAATATGGGAAGGGTATTCCTTACTTGTTTGTATCCTTTGTATTCTTCGTATCGTAAAATATGTAGGTTACGGGATTATGATTTTGTCATCGAAAATCACGTTGCTAAGGTTACAATTTTTACGAACCTTGACCTTATTTTTCTTGGTAAACCTTTTGTGTACAAAAAGAAAGCCTTTTGTTATTTGTTCCTGCCTTTTTGACCCTTTTCCCTTTTCAATGCCTTTTTGACGCATTTTTGCCCAATTTCATCACCATTGCACCCGACTGCTTGGAGAATATTTATGCATAATACAGATGTTTATAATCTATATATCAGTGGCCGTGGAAGCTTTAGGGACATGTGGAGGCCTTAACATCGTCGGATTGGGGGGGAGTGGTTGACCTATATTTATAACATGGGTCGACGATATGGACATCGAGTAAGCACTCGAGTAAGCACCGTCCCCACGCTTCCGCGGCCACCGTGAACTATTAAAGGAAGTACAGAATATACATTTTTCATATTTTTAAGCTTGGGTTCTGGCTTTCATCGATACTCCGCACTGCCTGTGGCTTTTTGCTCTGCGCACACTATCGTAAACTAAGCATTTTATGAAACTAAGGATACCAAGAAATAATGAATACATACCATTACTCACTATTCTTACACAGTAGCAAAATGAAGGAATAAAGAGCACAGCAGGTGTCAAAAAAGGTTCTGTAAAACTTCAATATGCAGCAACTTGATAAATTATTTTATCCGGATTTTTCACCGAGGTTCAGCTTATTTCGAAATCCTCTGCATCAAGAGGAATTCATGCCAAGACTCGCAATACAGCAGGAACGTGGAGAAGACCAAATTCCTCTTCTGGAATGGTTGAAGTGTGAAGAATGATTATTACGACGGTTGAAATGTCCCAACTTTCTTGATGAAAATATATAAACACTATCAAATTTAATCATAGGAAAGATGCTAATTAGACTTGCAAATTTTTGATTAAATTGACTTTTTTGCTAACTGATTCAATCTCTTGATTAAATGTTATAATTTATAACATTGCGCTTATAGCGGAAAATTTCAAAACTGCACTTTTCAAAAAATTACTGTGGGCGTTACAATCGCACAGAGGCTGTATATATATCAAAATGTTCAGGATGAGTTGTACCAACTTTTTAAAAATAAAAATACCAAGGAAAAAAATTCCGTGAGGTAGGTCACTTTTGGCATTTGAGGTCAAAAATTCATAACCTTTGACCTGGTCATCACTGTCCAAAATTTGGAGTCCGATCTTGTAAGAAATGCGATTGGTTATAACCCTGCGAAATTTCAAATTGTTATCTCACCAATTGTACGAGATATCACGGTGCCAATGTTGGGCGAAGACTTTTGAAGGGCAGTGTACATATTTTTGGGGCGAAAACTTTAATATACATACGTTCTAATTTAAAATGAGTAAAATTTACTCAAGTTTGAGTAAAAAGAGAGGATGCCACAACCAAGAGCTGAAAATTAGCCTACATACCTACATTGTGCAAAATGTACCAACCCGTTGAACAAATGTAGCATAACTTTCATAGAATAGTAAGAAATAGAAGAAGCACTCTGCTCTTTGTTAAGCAAGTAAGGGGGATGACTCCCCACCTCACATACGAGAGGTCGCCAGAAGCCCTCAATGTTAAACTAAATGGCAAACTCCTACTCCATCTGTTATGTGAGGTGGAGCATCTCTTTCTGTATGTTCATATCGTGGTGGTTAATTATTCGTCGCTAGAGCCCTCACTAACACTATCTCTTACGCATTTTGTATTTACCAATGCTGAGATCCTACCCATTGATAACTTTGGACAAATTTGGCATAAGATAAGATAAATTCTATCTATTGGTTGGGTCATCCTCTATTTTACTCAAACTTGAGTCAATTTTGCTTATTTTTATTTAGATGGAGCTTATTTTTAAGTGTGAACAATTGAAAATTAGCCCAGTAAAAAATAACCACCTCACACCTTCTTATTGTTAACATACATACTTACAAGGGAACCTTAAGTACTGTCACCTCTCGATTTCCTTCGGAATAGCCTTAATCGACAGATAATTTAATGAAACTTAAACTTTGTCATAGAACATGCTGTGCAAAATCGCGTTTTCGCGAGAAATTTGGCGAGAGCTGCACCAAAACGTGCAATTTTTGCAATGCTTCGCTTATGGCTTTCCGTCCGCCCACGCACTCGTCTCACCAACTCGCAGCTCTATGCTGCGTAATCTGGGAAAAACGCATACTTTAATCAGTACATGTTCTGCTAGAATTGGCAAATCAACAAAGTATTTTGTCTTAATAAAAAATTTAAACTACATGAAGTAATCCTCAAATCGGTATTTGTTGAGTATTTATCTATAAATTGCAGTGCTAAATGTGATTTGAAGTAGGCTGTAATTATTTTATCCGCAAATTTTTAAAGGAAAACGGGCATGTAAGTCTATTGTGTAAAATGTTTATTTGGGCTATCAAAACTTATTTTTATTAAACTTTTTGGTTAGTTCCTGAGATTTTAATTTACTTTCTAAACTACAACGGCTACACCTTGAAATGGTATGAATTATTATTAATGTGAATCAAATTAAGTTAGTACCAAACGACGTAATTTATTTATTAATCAGATTAACCCGGCTCACGTTGTGGAACATTTAGTTAAACTGGTCCGAACCCGCTTTGGGGATGACAATCAGTCGCCTCCAACTGACGAAGAGAGAGAATTAGCCAATCACCTTTTTGAAATTATAATTGAATTAGACAATGGGACAGCAGTACTGGAAACTGACTGGACTTTGACTCATGATACGGATGGCCATGACACAGTCGAAGAGGAAGATAATGAGGATGAACCAAGCCAAAATTCTCAAGAATGGGAAACACTGTCCTTAGTTACAGAAAGTAGCACCGAAAATTTTACACTAGATTATATGAAATCAGTATTAGAGTGCTACGATAAACACGGTTGGGGTCGCGTGCAAAAGAGGTTTAAAAGGGTTAAGTATAGAAAGTACATTTATAGATTTCGTGATTATGTTCAGCAAAACGGAACAAACGCAGAGAAATTACAAAAATTACACATAGAATTGTTTGAAAAATTCTCAATTTTATTAATGAAACGAGAAATAATTCATGATTTTGATTTAAAACGATGGGCACTACAAATGGCTAAAGAGCTTAATTTACCTCAATTTAAAGCAAGTGATGCGTGGATTTTAATATTTAAAAAATCCCACAATATTGTGTCCAGAAAGATAACTAAATTTGTCACAAAAACTTGTTTGCAAAACGCAGAGGTAATAGCTCAATCAGCAAGAAATTTTGTAGAGTCCGCCCAAGTTAAAATGCAAATTTACCATCATGATAATATTTTAAATACAGATCAAAGCGGTTTTAACTATTTGCTAAAATCAAATAGGATGTTATCATTTAAGGGCGAGAAATCCACTTCAGCGGTCACAGAGTCCAAAAACAAACAAACTCATTCCTACACAATTCAACCAATTGTTTCTATGTCAGGCAAATTAATTAGCCCCTTATTAATTTGCCTGCAAGAACAAGATGGTAAGTTTGGAAAAATAGTTCAAAAGTCTGTATCGGAGGTGGCTGCTAAATGCAAAAATGTAATCATCTTCTGTAGCAAATCTGGAAAACTACAGAAACCACTCGTTAAGTTATGGGCAAATGAGATTCTCTATAAATCTAGTGAATTTAAAAGTCTTCTCTTGTTAGATTCGTGGACAGGTCAGACAGACAATGAGTTATTTTTATGTGAGGACCAAGATAAAGAATGTGAACGAATGTATATCCCCGAAAATACCACTGATAAAATTCAGCCTCTAGATGTATATGGTTTTAGGCAGTGGAAAATTTGTGTCCGTAAGATGTTTTCTCATGTAATTTTAGATCAAATTGGCACTGATTTAGCATCAAGAATTAACATAATTACAATGCATTCGCTTATTCATAATCAGCTCGCAGCTAATATATTCAGAAATATGTGGTTGTATGCATGGTACAAATCTGGATATCTTTTGGAGAGGCCTGAGCCTTTTTTAAATGTTAGTGAAGCATTATTTGAATCATCACTTGAATATGCAGTGAATTTAATTGCCAAAATGCTCAGTTTATTAAATGTGGGCATTGTCGAAAGTATTTATGTTTCGTCCACTTCTTCGAAAATTATCATTTTCATGAACCGGAAGTTGATGAAGAGTTAATGGATGTTAATTAAAGTTATCATAAAACTTAATTATTATTTAAAATTAATACATTGTGATAATATAAATTGAAGTACTGAATTTGTAAATGTACACAGAATAGTTAAGCTTTAATAATAAGTGGTAGCGACTATGGTGTAATGTTTATACGTCCAATGGTGGTATAAAATTTAATACAGAGCTATTAATTTCGCATGCTTGCTGTTTTGAAATCATTGCAATAATCGTGCTTGTTTCAAAATCTATTCATCCGACTTTGATACAAAAACCGATGACACTAGGAAACCGCTTTAAGGATGTTTCGCATTGCACTTTTTACTGAAGGAGTTTTATGGAACCACAATGTCTTATCTGGTGTATATGTAAGTATGTTTCCGTAATATAAGTTAGGGTATGACGAGCACATTGTGTGTAGAAAACAATCCAGCATCCATTGACCACACCCACATGTGAAAGGATTGAGTGCGATACGTGTGGTGAGTGAAAGCCATAAGCGAAGCATTGCAAAAATTGCACGTTTTGGTGCAGCTCTCGCCAAATTTCTCGCCAAATTTCCAAAAACGCGATTTTGCACCGCATGTTCTATGACAAAGTTTAAGTTTCACTAAATTATCCGTCGATTAAGGCCATTTGGAAGGAAATCGAGAGGTGACAGTACTTAAGGTTCCCTTGTTAGAAGTATGCCTGATTTGAGCCGAATTCATATAAAATGCAGGGTCAATGGACGTTAGTCGGCTAAAATCCATATTTATTGCATGGAATATACTTGGGCAACATACAGTTAATAAAAGTATTATTTGGACAGTGATGAGCAGGTTTTTCAAATGCTCATATTTTTTCGGTTTCTTGGAAAGTTGGCCTTATTATTTTTTTGACTTGACACATAAGTATGTGGTTATCTAAATCCATAAGCCATTGACCAATATTTATTTTGAGACGGAAAATTTTAAGCATTTTCCAAGTAGAAGTGAAAAACTTACATCAAAGTATTATTTGGACACCGAGATTCTTTTGCAAGATTTCTTTTGCAGTACACTACCTATCACATTACAATTTAAATGAATATTGCAAGGTCATGTATAAATCTTTACTTCAGAAGCTTCTCACGCCTTTATTCTCGTTTAGAGATCACCTGGAATCATCATTCCTAAAATACTCCGAGCTATAATTTAATGTTGGGAAATTATTATCCCAAACCACCACAACTGTCTTCCAGAGCCCATAATTAACGAAAAACTTATTCAGAACTGTAGTACGCAGTAATATTTTGTCTCAAATTGTAAGGAAACCATCAGAATTATAAGAAAACCTGGAAACGTTTAGCCCAGTAATCAAATATCGTCATAATGTATGCATGTCTCGAAACGCTACGAAAATTTTCTTCACCAAAATTGGAGCAAAAATTTCAATTCATGTGTGGAATAATTGTTTGAGATCAAAAAATGTGAAATCGAATCGAGAATCAAGGCTTTAAAGGCTGAACAGAAATAAAGAGCACATTGATTTTTAGCACGAAAGCGAAGCATCCATTTAATGGGGGTAGATAACGTTGTAATCGGGACCTGAGCCAGTGGAAGCAGGTCAATTAGTTATATTCACGTATGCTTAACCTGTCCTAGACCGATGGGCCCCCAAAGTATGCAGAAAACCAAAGGAGGAGTTGAGTGTGCCAGGCCTCCGGCTAAATTTGCATCACCCCGGAGTTTCAGTTATGAGGTGGGGTTCGAAATCAGGGTCGGGGACATGTTAGTTCGAAATAATCGACAGATTCGTGTTGAAAGAAGTCTACATTAGGATTCTAGATTGAAAAGTTGTCAAATATGCCATAACTTGTACAATAATGAAGCTTTCAATTATGGTTTTTGTTCGCCTGCATTTACCTGTTCCTGATTTGTTGACTACCCTAACGCCACTTATCCATTCTCAGACCGCAAATGGGTGTTAAATGGTCCGTACTATATTTCGGAATAATGTTCTGAGCAATTATGGGTTCTGGAAGACAGTTCTGATGGTTTGGGATAATAATTTCCCAACATTAAATTATAGCTCGGAGTATTTTAGTAATGATGATTGCAGGTGATCTCTAAACGAGAATAAATGCATGAAAGGCTGCTGGAGTAAACATTTATACATGACCTTGCAATATTCATTTAAATTGTGATGTGATAGGTAGTGTACTGTGGCGAACTTGCAAAAGAATCTCGGTGTCCAAATAATACTTTGATGTAAGTTTTTCACTTCTACTTGGAAAATGCTTAAAATTTTCCGTCTCAAAATAAATATTGGTCAAAGGATTATGGATTTAGATAACCACATACTTGTGTGTCAAGTCAAAAAAATAATAAGGCCAACTTTCCAAGAAACCGAAAAAATATGAGCATTTGAAAAACCTGCTCATCAATGTCCAAATAATACTTTTATTAACTGTACATAGGTATGTATACGAAGCCAGCAAATTTTGCATAAAGCAGACAACAACAAAGGAAGCTGGCATGAAACTTACCGTCACCACGCCGCGATATGAATAATTCTTAAATCCATCAATACGAATCCTTATCTCTCTTCTCATTCACAAGCAAAGTGAATATAGATAAATAATATTAAATCGTTAAAAAGTTCAGTCATCTGTCGCTACGAATAATTACAATTCCAAGCGAGATTACTCATGTGAAGGAAATATATATATTTTGTTAAGTAACAGATCTGGAAACATCTCTGGTCTTCTCTTTATCCACCATTCACCTTTTTTTAATTTTGGTAACGATTTGTCCTCAAAATAAAACCTGACTAATTTACTACTTTTCAATTTAACGGAATGGATTGGTCGAATTCTGTATAAAGTGCATGCTACATATTTACGACTTTTTTGAATTTGTGCGTATCTAAACTCCGAAATTTATTAGTAACAAGTTTGAAAAAAGCTTTAACATTTTTCTGGGTTTGAAACACAAACATTCGCATTTTTGATTTTTTAAATGTATGTATACTTTTTTAGCCCGACGCCCGACCCAAGGCTTATAGGTTACGGAAATATCCGTCTGTCCATTTAACGATTGCGGCCGCAAAAGTAATTTTCAGTGACGTTCTTTTAGTATGCACTGTTAAAAATTAGGTATTTCCCGGTACTAAAGTTGCCACCAAATATAGCGGTCCGTAAAAATTTACTACCGATATGGTAAAACTTTAATACCGAGCTATTAATGGTAGTGATTTAGATACTACACGGTGTTACTTATCAATACCACCTTAGTAGAGTAACATATGTGCATATGTACCTTCTTAATACTGGATTTCTAAGAGTGTAACCTGTTCAGGTTTTAGTGTCAACCCCCCGAAATGAACCCGTCTCCCGCCCAGCCTCCCTCCGCCCCCACCGAATCGGAAGCTGAACGTGCAGAGAAGCGAATCTTGATCAAGAAACACCTGGTCATCTTTCTCCATGCGTTGCTATGTGGACAGAACGGGGATCAATCCACATCTCAGGTAAAAAAAGAGTGAAATTATGTAAATATGTACGTAGGTGTTTTATTATTAATTTTCAAAAGGTATGTTCCGCACTGTTTCTGACAAAAATTTTGATGAAGTAACAAACTTCAAATACATTTAGGAGGCTGTGATTTTTTTCAGCTCTGTGGGTTAACATAAACACTAGCAATAAATCGGCAAACTTTACCTCGACGGAAAAAATGCTAGATTTGCAAATTAAATGTCGTAGTGTAATTTAATTTTTAATGCTGGATGGGCACTACGTGTCGCAGATTTATGGTTGAATGCTTAAAACTTACGATGAAAACTGCCCAACACAAAACACAAATTCAATTGGGTCAATAATTTTAAATGATGGCGAAACGAGGTCTCGGGCAAAAAGTCGCCAGGACGCTCAAAATCCGCTTCTTCCACAGAAAGGCTCCGGAAACTAGAGGAACCAATAATGAGAGATCCGCAATTGAAACTGTCCTATTTAGCAGATGAGATGGGTGTTTCAAAGCTAGCAATTTGTTCCATGTTAACTGAAGACTTCGGTATGAAAATGGTTTCCGTCCGTTGGGTACCAAAATTGCTTTCGGTATCTCACAAACAGGATCGAGTCGACTTTTGCAATGCCAATTTTAACCTATTAAATGAAGACTTGAACCTGCTCAATATTTTATTAGCTGCATATGGTACTTGGGTTTACTATTATGACCCGGTGACCAAATAATAATTCCCTCAATGGAAGCACGAGGGGTTGCCACCGCCCGTGAATTGAAAAGTGCAAAAATCTGACAAAAAATTGATGATGACCATTTTCAAGGATACCAAAGGTCACCTCCTTATAAAATTTATTGCTGGAAATACTACAATAAATGGGGCCGTGTATGCAGGAACCCCGAAGGAGCTGCGTCCTCCGGTTGAAAAGAAACGTGGGGTCAAAATAAAGAGTTGGCCTTTTTTTAGACGACAACGCGCCACCTCATACCTGGCTTTTTGCGAGGGTTAGTGCAGACGAAAATCGCTTTACCTGCACAAACCACACCCCGTGCAGTCCAGACTTGACCCTTAGTGATTATTATTCGTTTCGAAACTTAAAGAAAAACATCGGGGGAAAACGGTTTTCGGATGATAATGAAATCAAGTCGTAAATTTTGGCATATTTTAGAGGTAAATTTTAATGAGTTATTGCTAGTGTTAATGTTAACCTACAGAACTGAAAAAAATCACAGCATCCTGAAAGTATTTGAAGTTTGTTATTTCATCAAAAGTTTGGTCAGAAACAGTGCGGAACATACCTTTTGAAAATTAATAATAAAACACCCACGTACATCACACGGAAAATTTGAAACAATAGTTTCACCCCTTTGTTACATTCCGTTTGTAACTATTAATGTACATATTTATTCATGCAGCCCTGCACGACTCGTGGCTGTGAACGCATGAAGACCGTTCAGGTTCATATGCGTTCCTGCGAAGCGCGTCGAGACTGCACGTACAATTATTGCTCCGCGTCCTTTCAGGTTTTGGGTCACTGGAAACACTGCGTCGATCCGGATTGTCCGATCTGCACATTTGTTCGAGAAGATCTTTCGACAGATTTACTGAAAATATTTCCGAACCCGGTACACCAGGCGGAATTCAGGCAAAGAATTGCCACCCAGCAGGAACGTGTTGATCGTGGAGAAGACGAAGCTCCTCCGATGGAATGGTTGGAGTCAGAAGAATGATCATTTTTGCAAGAAAACTGATTATGTTTCTTTTAATTACAAGTTTTCAAGATACAAAATATTTAGATTTTATATATATGTAAGTATTCGAAAAAATATGAAGTTCAATTAAATTTTGGAATAATGTTAATCAAATGTGCACGATTTTTATCAAATTTATCTGTTTACAAATTTATTCAATTTTGATTACACGAATTGCGAATGAATGAAATTTATTAAGTTTATGCTCGATTTAACGTTAAAATGTTCTTAGTCGCTATAAATATGTATACATATCGTCCGATGGCACTTAAGTAAGTACTTACCTAGTGAATGACCAGTAGTTATCGCATTTCTCGCCATCCTGCAAAAAAATTTGTAACATTTGAGAAAAACAATTTTTTGCAGCTGTATTTCTTTGCATGGCAAACACTGGTGACTGGTAAATATTTTCTATCTTAACAATGAGCTTGGTCAGGACTTAAAATGTAGCCCATCGTAAACTAATTTCTTTTACTACTACATACCTTGAAGCGTCTGCATATTTTTAATACTGTATTTCAAAATTGATTCTGTATTTAAACTTTGCATGCATTTCGTTCCTTAGTTAGTATATTAACATTTTTATGCATATGTAAGTTACGATTAAAGTGCTGACATCGTCGGGTACCATACGCACCATAAACTGGTTGATTTTCTTCCAGTTCTAGGATATTCATAAACCTGAGTTATTCGCAGTATAAAATATGCAAATTACATTTATTGGCGATAAAAATAAATATGTATATATTTATTTATCGTGATTTATTAAGAAACGATATTGCGATCATTTTCCAATTTTTGTAATCGAGCTAGAATTTTACACTAGGCTTTTAACCAGACGAAACCCTACTTGGCATAAATTTACGCGTGCAAGTAAAAACAATACTGCACGGGTAAAGATGTACTTTACATGTGCTACATACTAGAAACGCCTAGAAAATGACACGTATGTAACATAAATAAACCGTCGCAAACGAAATGTAGCAAAGGGGTGAAACGAAACGACCCGGTAACACGGTCGTGACCATGTCGATTTTTGAAATCTCCACTCAAAACGACGTTTAAGACGGTTGAAACAAAAAAAATTGATACCTTTGACCGTTGACGTCATCACGGCTGTGACGTGACCTTCTGATCTACAATGCCCATGTTCGAAGTCCGTACTTCAAAAATTAGAAACACGTTGGCGAAAACTGCATATCTAAATTTGAATCCGTTCTAAAGTTATCGTGGATAAATACACACAGACGGACAAGACATTTCCATAAAGGGATTTCGCTTCTTTGCACCCCCTAATTATGCTGCTAGAAATGCCTAGATAATGGCACGTATCTAAAATGAAGAATTTGCCCTGTTTTCACAACTAATAAGGTACAATATAAGTTGCTAGTTCTTATTTGATCCAATGGGCCGGGTATACGAAGGAGGTTCATGTGCATATGAAAATCAGTCCAAATCTTCAATCCATCCAACAAGTAAGTGCATTAATCTTTTGTCCCGACTTTGTCCCCATATACATAAATATATCTTACATATTAAAGAAAATAAAGACATAATTAATATAACTTTGGAAATTTACATAATTTCAGTTTTAATATTTTCTGGAAAAACTTGATTCCCGCATCCCGCCACAATGAAAATCGGATTTGTCGTCATTTTTTCCATGTCGCTGATCATCGTAACGGCAGCTCAAGGCCCACGAAGTAAAATACAAATTTATCCTTCAGCCCCCAATTTGGGAGGAGCTAAAGCGGTACTTTTGATAAAAGTACACTCTTAGAAATCTGAAATCCATTATTAAGCGTCAGTTTTGATTTATGACACTACCAAAATGGCATTGATAAGTAATACCAAGTAATAATAGAGGCACATGTAAATATTACCGTTTTACCATATCGGTAGCAAACTTGTACAGCCCAGTACCGTAACATTAAATCAAATTTTAATTTTTGTAATTTGAATACCATGCGGTAACAACTTTAATACAGAGAAATCAATACGTACGTACATATTTAACTGTATGTACATACCCGCCAAATTTCTAGCAGTAAATATATAGACTTTCACGACGTTGATAAAATTTTAAAAAAAGTATGATATTTATTTAAATATGCATGTACAAGTCCTCAATTTATTAGGTTTTGGATTTAGGTAGAAATTCAAAATTCAAGAATTTGTTAAACTTTAAAAATAAACATGCTTTTATTTCCTATTTATTTTCCTTTTCTAAAAAAAGATTTCACGCGTGGTTCTGTCTATTTACGTATTTGTAGCATGTATGTACATATTTTCTAACATTTCTTTAGATTTCTGTCCCGACTTGGAAGACGCCTGCGGTGAGGCTGGTGGAGCACCAGTTCCATGTGGGGAAATCTTAGCCAATTCGGTGATTTGTATCAATCCGGAATCGGGCATTTTCGACGCGAGTTGCCGCGCCTTTGGAACAACCTGTTCAGTCGCAATGGTTGGGATTGAGCACAGGTGCACCTGCCCCGGTCAATGACCAAATTCATTTTAAAGTTTGAATTCTTGAGGATTAATGGCAATGGATAAATCTAAACTAAAATAAAATAAATCAAATTAAGCAATACTAAATAGTCTATGATTATGTGTGTCTGCTTTTATTTCTTTAAAAACAACTTTCGTACTACTAATTTCTAAATAAAATTTCCCTCATTCAATGTTGCCATGTTGATTACACCTGATAGCAACCAAGTAAAATTTTCAGCCCAGTTGCCAAGTTTTTTATGAAAACACGAAAAATCTACTTTTTGACATTGGTCGGTAAAGGGAAAATTCCGAACCTTGAGGAGAAAAATGTCGAAAGAAAATACGCTTTTTACGATCCAGTTTTCCACAAAAAAAAACAGAAGAAATATTATTATTAAAAAAAACTTTTTTCAGGATATTCGATTCCTAACTTATCGGCTGATTTTTGATATAACTCGCTATATTTTCAGAACTATTTTGAGGTCGGAGACCCACAAATGCGATTTGCCATAAATAAATAAATTGTATATTTTTCTCGTGATAAAACAACATATAGTTTTTACTTACATGGCAATTACTTAAAAGTGTTTCTTTATTGCCATCTTTGATGTAACTTGCGTTACACCAATTTGATATACATACACATTTTGCCAATTTTGTACGCTTATGTTTCAATTCACAAAATGGTATAATTAAAACCCCCGGGAGGATTATGAAGACAAGTGCAAAAGTGGAAATTCAATATTGCCCGTACAAGGCAGGTTGACATGCTGTTGCACTTGGCATCGAATTTGGTGTAATCCGAAGAGATGCAAGGGATCTCAGAGAAAAACTGGGCTGTAACACACGTCCTGTCAATGTTACCTCCGTCACTTTTACAGGCAGCTGTCATCTCGGTGTAGAAATATATTTAGGTTGAGCAATATTAGGGTAAATATTAGAAACGTCATTATTGCATATGTAGGTAGGAAATTTATTCATTGTAGTATAAATTGTGTTCTCAGAGATGTATGTATGTGCAGACGTGTTCAACAAAAAATTATTCATTCAAATATTCATTCATTGTCATGAAGTGCAGACAACATTCATTCAATATATATTCATTGACAATTGGCAACATTCATTCAAATATTCATTCATTCATTAACATATTTATTCATTCACTAAAATACTCACTAATTTATTCAAATATTTATTTATTCATTCAAATATTCATTTATTAATTCAAACATTCGTTCATTTATTCATTCAAATATTCGTTCATTTATTAAGTAGCTTCAGCTACTTTATGCGAAGACAGGATAACAGGAGAACGGATCGAGATAATCGACATCGGTTTTCGACATTACGCATAGGACCCGAGGAGTATCCTATCAACTTGTAGGACCAATAAGACAACCCCCTTTGGCGCCAGAGGGTGTGGTCGGGGAAAAATGAGTTTTTTTCAGAAATTGAAGCTACGGATGAAATACATATAAGTAAAATTTAGTGCTCCCGAGTTGTGCCACACCATCTGGCGCTGGGGGGTGTGGTCTGGGGGAAAATGAGATTTTCACTCAAATTGAATCTAAAGATGAAATACAGTGAAATTGAGTGTTCCAAAAGTTGTGGCAAAAGCAATATGATATTCATTTTGACGTATATTTGACACTTATTTCACTCTTTAGCTACATGCGTTTGCGACGGTTTATTCATTTATTTTTGTATTCACAATTTGCAACTCGAACTTTAAATTTAACATAAATTTCAAGGTAATGATGAATGCATTTGAGTCAAAAATTTCCAAGATTCTTAGAGGTAGAGGCTTTTTGAAATATTTATGTGCTAAAATCGGTAATATCCACTCTAATATTTGTATTACAAATATATACGGTATCTACTTAATAACTAATTTTTGAGCGAATTAGTACCATTTTGTTTTATTGTTTAGATGAATTCCATTCTTAGCATTGACATTAAAATCAAAATATAATTGATTATAGTCAAATGTGATCAAATATATTATGGTTTCATTGTCATTTAAGAGGAGGGCACACCAGTCAAAGAGATGATTTGTATAATAACTTGCAGAACCAAATCCTTCACTAATCTTCAAAAATCCAATTTTGGATAGATTTTCAAAATTCTTCATTCTCATTATCTTCATTGAGGCGAGGAAATTCCGCAAAATCGTATTTTGCACAAGTCCCCCTTTATCCCACAATGTTAAGCTCCGGTGATCTTAGATGATTACTTTATCATACTCATATGTAAAATATATTTTTAAATTTTCGGACAATTTAATAATCTCGAACATTTTCTGAGGGCTCTGCGTTCAACGAAATAGAACAAAATACCCAACGGCATCAATATCGAATATTACCACCTTTGTGTACTCTTCCTCCTACTAAAATAGAATTCATATAAATAATAAAACAAATTGCTCGCGTACTCAATGTTTTCCGCTTATTGCACTTGTTGTCCGGCTCCAGACTTATTTTCCTTTTGTTTGAGAGACTTATGGCTGGATGCGCTCTCATCAAATCGGACGACGATATTCTCGGTGAAGCACTAAATTTTCCAAAGACTTCGGGTTCAGACTTGATCTCCTTGAACGTCCAAATGATCCCAGTAGA